CATTGTCTGCTCCCATCGATGGCCGAGATCAGATGCCGGTGAATGATGTTGCGTTTAGAATAGTTTTATTGTTTTTATACCATCGGTACTGATATACCATATACTCCCTCAGACCATCTGCTTATCCTTCTATGTATAACAAATGATTGGCCCAAAATTGCTATTGTGTACATAAGCTCAATTGGAAGAAACCGTGTGTTACTGATCTTATGATGTATCGCTATGAAACTGAAAACTACTTTTGTAAAGACGTATGCAATTTATCCTAATTCGCATCCTCTCGTGAATATATTGAAAAATATGTGTATGTATGTATGTGTGTGTGTGTGTGTGTGTGTGTGTGTGTGTGTGTGTTTGTGTGTGTGTGTGTGTGTGTGTGTGGTTGGATGGATGGATGGATGGATGGATGGATGTGTGTGTGTATATATATATATATATATATATATATATATATGTGTTTGTGTGTCCGTGTGTGTGTGTGTGTGTGTGCGAGTGTCTGTTTATCCTGTGCATGTTGTCATACCATTGTATACATTGTACTCTTTATGACTTTGAGGAAATACAAGACATCCATTTTTCTTGTGTATATGAATCAGAATTTTTCAGATATGTTTCAATGTTTCACTTGTATAGCATTACTACTGTCACTGTTACTTGCACATAACACTGAATCTGTTGAACATATGTTGTATTTGTTTTAGATGAGTTCAAAGATAATATGATACAATTGACATAGTTTTCAAGGACATTGTGACACATGTGTTTCTAATCTATCACTCCCAAAGGACACGATTTAGCAATTTCTTATCGCACAGAAGCTCCATGAAGTATGCAGTACTACACACTCCGAATAGGGACAGCAAATAATGAATATGATGCCCCTGTTTAACATTAATAAGCAGGTATTACGCTGTGGAAAATACCAAAGCGCGTGGTTGTGTCCAACAGGGCCTTGGTATATATAGTTTCACAAATAAAATATGTAAAACTCCCCAAAACCCTGGGTTTATTCAATGGTATTGCGTGTGGAGATGACAGTTCACTGATGGGAGATTATGCACACTCGATGACTCTAGCACCCCTGTTGATATGATGACGTCATATGGCATTGTTTTCCGGGTGTATCTTCGAAAAAAATTCCATACATCGTCGGGTGAATGTAAACTTTGTGGTACAGGGCCCCGTTCCAAAAAAACAATCGTATCGCAACGACAGTCGTAAGCCTGTGTATGCGGTTAATACGAATCAACTCTTACTGTATTTGAAATATTATTCTGTTTAACATTTTGTTATAAGATCGCGACAGTGAAAACATTTTAAAAACAAGTCTTTAATGGCAAATAATAAATAAAACGCTGAACTTACCTCATGTAATATTGATTTGCAAAAACTCTTGAATAGATCTAGTGACAGACTCGCTCTCCTTCGTCAGACATCAGAAGTATTCAATATGTTTTGTTCTATAAACTTGGTATAATATGGAAGGTCGTTTAGTATTCTGTATGTCTCGGTTAACTTCCCGCCACCCGTTTGAACGACTAATAGTTTCATTTTAACAAATTATCATCTCGCTCAAACGACGTCTGGAATAGTTTAAACAACATCGTATCAAGTTTGGCCAACCTACTATGAAATGTGGTGAAGGATTAGTAATGAACGATGAGTAATCAAACCTGGACATTCTGAAAAACGAACCAACGATTTCATGTTTAAGTTACCCTATCATCTCAAAACGACCTCTATGCCAGATCTAGAAATATTATCCATATCAACAGCGTAGCCACTCACGCATTTCAAGTAGTTTGGTGATATTCCTTCTTTCACCTGATGAAGGAAAACGAGCATGCCTCGACTCGTTGGTTTCCGTCCCGCGAAATAGATGATTACATCTGTAAAACATGATACTCAGTCGTATCTAAGTCAATTGAAGGAGACAGTGAGGGGGCTTCAATGAAATAAATCAGAAGCTAGTATTTTGATGTAAGTTAAGGTAAATCTCGTTACACCCAACTTTCCTCTGACCAAAACAACACATCTGATATGTAAAAATAACTAATTAAGTGTCCACGTTTTTTTAACCATTGTATCTCCATGCATCTCTGATGCCAACGGGAATCTGATGTGTTCCTACTCCCCTTACTGAACACACGTGCTTTATGTAATACTATGTTATTGTAGTTAACTTGCGTAAGGTAACTGGTTGGTTGACTAAACTTAATTATAATGAGCCTATGTCCGTGTACCATTTCAAAGCAACAGTTCTGCCGTACGCTAATGGCCGAAGGCAATCTGACAACCTAGTGTTCCTAGATACGCCATTCACATGTGACTTTATACAATGACATCGACATGTATTGTTACTGGTGTACCCATCCGTCCAATAACCTTAAATGTAAAGAGTGTGTGCACCTGTCAGGAGTAGTACTTCCGGATTGTTTAATGTTTGTCAGGCAAGGGAGATAACTCCAGTTTGTTTTATGTCATACGGAATATGTGCTCCGAGAAAAAAACTAACGATCACACAGTTTAGGTTGAGGCATGTTTATTTCCACGTGTGCAATACCCCGCGCCGACGCTCGACACAAAGAGCGTCACAGTATGAACATACACCGACGCTATGTTCCTATATGTGTAACAAAACCTACTTGTGTCTGGAGGAAACACCATCCATGTTTACCTGGATACGACATCCCAAAGGAAATGAATCTAGATGCAGCTTTCATGTGCACAAGAAACCGTATTATGAATCTACAGACAACAACAAGCATGTGTACCTCGGTACAACAGCATTAATATTGTACTATGAATTGTATCACATTCGTGTGTACCTAGATATGACATCTCAATGTACCTTTATACCATAACTTCCATATTCATCTAGATAAGAGAACATGTATGTGCATATAGACACAACGACATCCATGTATACCAAGATTCAACGACATTCATGTGTACCTAGATGAGACATCCCGATATACAATACATCCATATGAATCTAGATACAACATGCATGCGCACCTCGGTACAACAGCATTGATATGAGTCTGTGCGCAGCAATATTCATATGTACCTAGATACAACATTGATTTAAAGCATCAGTGCAAGTTATGGACATTTCACGAGTTTCATAAAAAAAGGGCCAGCAATATTAATTTGTACCTAAATACAACAACATCCACGTGTACCTAGATACAACAACATTAATATGAGTCTGTGCCCAGCGATATACATATGTACCTAGATACAATGTACAACAACGTTCATGTGTACCTAGATACAACAAAATTCATGTGTACCTAGATACAACAACATTTATGTGTACCTAGATACAACAACATTCATGTGTACCTAGATACAACAACATTCATGTGTACCTAGATACGACAACATTCATTCGTACCTAGATAAAACAACTTTTATGTGTACCTAGATACACCAACATTCATGTGTACCTAGATACAACAACATGCATGTGTACCTCGGTACAACATCATTCATGTGTACCTAGATACGACAACATTCATGTGTAACTAGATACAACAACATTCATGCATACCTAGATACACCAACATTCATGTGTACCTAGATACAACATCCCGATGTACCTTTCTACAACTTCCCTATGAGCCTGGACACAGCAGTCATGTGTACAAGGACCTTATGGATCCACATGCAATTGCAGCAATGTATAACTAGGTACAACATAAATATCAAGAGTAAAATGGAGGTTTTTGAAGAAAGATTGACATTTTGACAGAGGCATGAAGCCAGTTATAGGCATTTTTTTCCGCCAGTTATCCTAACACGAAAAAACCTTTTCGCAAAAATCTTCCTTGTAGCAGCAACGAACAAGTGTTGTGTGACATAACGTCAGCGCATTCCGGTACAGTGCCGAGGTCCTCAACATCCTGAGTATGGTCACCCTCTGTTTCAAAAGTAAATATTGAAGCAGATTCCACCAACTTATAACTGCATCGACCTGCTGTCGTGAGAGGTCCATACGTTTACAGGCCGACATTACAATCCCCGAAACGGGATCAAACAGAATTTTCTGACTCGACAGATGTGAACGCCTGAAGTGACGCAGGTCTTACACGATTACCACGAGCACGGGCATGGTGCTAACAAACCTAAGCACATCATCCGGGGGAATCTGCTGTTCAAACCTAAGATTACAGGTTTCTCGCATACCTCAGGCACACAACTCTGCTTTAGACGCCTTGATAACCCGTGACCCTTCTTGTGACCCTGAGCACAGAAAAACTGTCAAATGTAAATGTATATTAATATCCTCTGATATGTTTGCATATTTTTAGAAGTCAAATATTTGTTTTATTTTTCAATTTGCCAAACATATCTAAGTATTAGCTAAAAAACGTCACCTGCACATTCCGAATATATCTTTACTTTGCTCATTTTGCAAATATGACTGTTTCTCCTTTATGTTCATACCCGTGAAGATCTGGGGTAGAATAGGTCTTCAGCAACCCATGCCATGCCATAAAAGACAACTATGCTTGCCGTAAGAGGTGACTAACATGATCAGGTGGTCAGGCTCGCTGACTTGGTTGAAGCATGTCATCAGTCCCAATTCCGTGGATCGATGCACATGATGTGAATCACTGGATGGTCCTGCCCAGAATCGATTATTTACAGACCACCGTCATATAGCTGGACCATTGCTGAGTGCGGCGTTAAACAAACAAACCGTTATAATCATAACTGGTGTTGTCTTAACGTCCTCGATATTTTCACAGAAACATTTGCATTAAAATATAGCAAACACACTTCTGAAATAACTGTTTTGTGCAAAGTTATTTCAAAGCAGCTCATTAACTTGAGACTGGACACCGTCATTATTTAATTATAATGTGAATCACCAATGCATGTCAATATAATAGTGTCAGTATTCATTTTCGTCTTCCGTGTAACAAAAGGGGATGACAGGGGGTGGGTCTAGGGGGGTGGGTTTTAGGGGGAGGGTGTGTGTGGGGGCAGCGGGAAGGCAATACTATCAACAGGAAGCGGAATGTGATTACGAAAGAAGACTGCTGGTCGTGTGACAACGCATGGATCACAGCCCCCTCTGACACATGTATCATACAGATGGTTCACGGTTTACACACAGCTTGTCTGCAAATCATCGGAAAACATCAAGTCCTAACATAGCGTAAGTATCTGCTGCTGATGTTAATATTGATCATATAAATATGTTGAAGTTATTTTTGTTTTAGAATGTACTGGATTCCATAATGAACTGTGTGCAATCCCTCTTTTTAGCATTATCAACATTGTGGGGAGTATAGCATGCACGCCTTCCTGACGGCCAAAGTCCACAACTCTTTGATTTCTGAATTCCTATTGGATCCCTCCAGTCGTTGCATTAGACAATTGATGTTTCATTGTGTATAGTAATGAGTACTGTTTGTCACTTAAGTCCATAGAGGAAGCAAAAATACTGCAAGTCCCCGTGGTTTTAGGATGGTGATGTACCTTCAGTTGCTGGCGATCTGCAGCCTTTTCTTATCATCTATTGTGAAATATAGTGACACATTTGTATATGCTAGTTTTAAATAACAATTAGTGATATTTTTGTTAATTAACTGTCCCATGTTGATAGGCTTTTTATAGTTTAAATGCATTTGTTATTTATAACATTGATAGTTACGATATGGCTGAAATACTGCCTCACATTATCACTCAATATTGTTTCACTTTCATATCTGTTTCAGTCAGCACAATGGTTTCCTTGGCGATGATATGGATAGCATGTTTGGTAGTTGCTACTAGAGGTAAATCAAAGAGCCCTGGATGAGGATAGGTTTTATTCCACACTGGCTCATAAAACATGCTTTTCGGGAGTAATGCAAATATGTCAAACAGTTTATATTCTAATGTCACTGCATGACAAATACATATTGACAGTGTTTCTTGTAAGAGTACAATTATCAGTGTTTGACATGGTTTATGGTTTATATTGAGTGGGATGTACATAAAAGGCAGTTCTATACATTTAGTTCATATTCGCAGTTATGTCAAACTAACAGACAATGAAACTCATCTCCTCTCACATTTGAATTATATTGCTCTCATATTATCAATTGTCTAGCTATATTTATATGTCTTCCTACTTCATTCTTTAGTCTATGAGTGCTACGTCAAAATTGTGCTGTGCTGTAAAATGTTGCTAGGATACCATTAGATATTATATTGTTGAAGATGGTATTGTGAGATGAAGATGGGGTTGTCATTGTATTGTAAATATTGCTGATCTAGTGGGTATACTGCACGTATGATTAATAGATATTGCATGTGTAATATTATACTTTATCCCATCTGCATCAATGTCTCATGTTAATCCTATATACAGCCAAATCAACTGCCTTGTGTCTCAACGACAAATCAGTCAGTACAACGTTGTTTAGGTAGTATAAGTGTTCGCTATTTTTCAGCATCCCATCCTTTTGTATTTAGCTGTTCAGGTATAATCAGTTTTATTCCATATACATGTAGGTGCTTAACGTTTCTTTGGAAGGACCCCAAGAATATACATTTAAGTGCATAGGAATACATAATCATGTCACTTGTTTTACATACTTAGGTATCTCCTAGTATGCTAAAGAGGAAACTTAATTTCCAATTCGCGAAACCATCAAATAATGACTGTGATATGACTTTCAGCCACTCCATGCAAGGAAACCTATCACTGTTCAGACTGTGACAGAGAGTCCGGGGATTGCCTCACTGAGTGTGACACGGGGTATTACGATCGACAATGCAGTTCTACCTGCAGCAAGAACTGTAGAAATAACAAATGTGTGACCTCGAGCTATGGTAGTGATAACTGCACTGACGGGTGTGTGCCAGGATACCAAGGCATTGGCTGCAACATACTATGTGACAGTCCAGGAGGTAACTGTACAGTATGTCCAGGTGGTTGTGATGGAGGATATTGTCAGTTGAACTCCTCCTGTGTGTCTGGATGTGTAGACTCCTACTACGGGTCTGACTGTGGTGAGAAATCGGATATTTTCGTACGTCTGGCTGTAATATCATGACTTTCCTAAGGGATGCTGTAGGCGTTTAGGTATATATCCAAACATGGCCATTTTGTTAACATTAACATAGCTTGACGCGATGATATGTATTTAACATCATGAGAGAAGGTGGCCCTTTAAAGAAACCTATTCACAGGACATCACCAGTGAAGAACATATTCACAACAATGGTCAATGTCATCAGTCACGAACCGGTATTCATATTACTTTATACCTCATACATAGTTTAATTATATTGACATGTTTAGCACATGCGCTTTCTCCCTGCAGTAAAAGTAATAATATACAAGTTCAGAATATCACATGATCAGTGATCCGTGGTTGGCTCTTCTTCACGCACTTGTTGTAAGGAAATGAATCAAACTTTCACATCAACATTGTTCTTTGTCAGGTGGTAAAGTGGGACTGCATGTAGGGCTTGCCACAGCAGCTTTCGGTATCATGACTGTCATCTCTCTGGTTGTGTGCTGCAAGTACCGTCACCGCTTGAGAAGGGACAGGTGAGTGAAGGAGTGCATGTATGTGTGAGTGAGTGAGTAGGTGGGTGGGTGCGTGCGTCCTTGCGTGACCGGACGGTCAATATGTGTTCTACCCTTCAGTGTACATAACCTGCTTTTATACTTCATTGTAACTACATCTGATGTCTGCTCTACAGTATGAACACTGCCTCCTATCTGTATATATATATATATATATATATATATATATATATATATATATATATATATAAACATATACTTGTCATCTGTACTCTGTAGTTGAACCTACACCGAAACGCCGCTCCTAATTGTAATACAGAAGTTGTTCATCCATATATTTTATCTTTACTTAGCCTTCCAACTTCTAAATGGCTTTCAAAGACGAGCTGAGCACAGTCAGCAATGTTCCGACATTCAGAGTCACAGTTGGACCATGTGCGATACTCGTCGTATTAACTGACATGGAATCACCATGGTTACCGTGACATGGGGTGCTGTGTCTCATCTTGCAACAGCCACTTGTTTACCAGTCCAAAATTCGAGTATTTGCGTGTCACTGCCTGACACGCATGTTTGATGAATGCTAAAAAGTTCTTGGCTGTATTTTCCTTATTAAAAATACGAGCCTAAATATTACAACAACAAAAACCCAGCAACAATGTATGTTTTGTGGCAGACATTTCCCGAAAAAAATCAAGTCGTTTTACAGCTAATAACCCCTACAATCAAATCAGTCATGTATCAGATATATTTGACCATGATTATTATGTAAACATGTATAACTTTGCAATATGGACGCATGGCTGATAGGTGTAAATGTGGGCCTACTGTTAATGTCATCAACATACATTGTTTTTACTTTTACAGTGTTACCAAGACAAAGGATGTTGTGTGCGACTCTGTTGTCGAGAAGGGCGATGCCCCTGTTGTGGAGCTGGAATGGTATTCTGAGATACCACTGAAAGACATGGCCATGCAATGTGGGTCATCTAATGGAAGAGGAAGTGCAGCTGGTGGTGGAGCGGATGATGTTTATGACGTTGCAGATGTAGACAAACGGAAATTTGCTGGTGATTTTGGCAATATTTACTCAAAATTGTCACATGCTTAGTAAATATTTTGTTTTGCAAAGGTCTTTCGTTAACTAATGACGCTGTCTATCCAGTATGCAATTCTTCAAAAGGACTTTCCCCTCCGAGATAAAGTGGACAGAGGATCTGCCCAGATTGTGGAATGTTGGTGGTTCGATACAAGCATTCAGCATTACGAGGAAAAGGGCTGGGATTCAGTATATTGTCTCTGAGGCTGCAATTTCCATGCTAAACTGTGCCATGGCATCTTAATGAGTTCCCGCTATAAAACTGGAATAGCTCGGGACACATGCATGCACATCGCTTTGTAAGTGCAACTATCTTGAAAGTTAAACCATTTTTTACCTCAGCTTAGTTTGAACAGATATTTCATATTGTAGAATATAGTATGATGTGTGTAATTAGTATTCACAAAACTATATAAATGGAACCATATCCAACCTTTTGCCTGTCCGTTTGTTTATATATGGAATGTTGTTATTTACTTGTACAATGAAGTTGTGTTCAACATAGTTACCTTTCACTATGCCATTCTGTATTCAGAATTGGTCACAATGATGCCTTGCATGCGAACAAGATGAAGATTAGATGTTCACGCTCTGTGATTAATTATTGATTGTTATTTTTAATGGCCATGGCCGTTGCTCGTGATTTCAATAAACGGTGTGACGGTTCAGTACCAGAGAAGCTGGAATAGCGCTAACTGCAACGTTAAACAGTCACTCAAGTTAGTATAATATACCATTGGAGTCTTCAGTCTTCTACAAACTGATCCATCCCCAAACATCTCGAATGATCAAGTCTGTGATGTTTGCAGACAACAGGTAGTGGTGCATAAATCTAAACGCTCTCTGCCGCCGACAGCACTCGACGTTTTACTTAAACTTCAGTTATTTGCTGCCAATAAAATACTCAAGGTTTAACTAAATGCATGGGCTGCAGTAATCAAACTAAAGAGATAACTATACAACAGTTAATATGTTACTATTTGCTTATACATTATTAATAACTGTTGCTTGTTTACTATTAATAAATAAACCTTGCAAAACAGTCCTTGGAACAATGTTGGAGACGTAATTCTTCTCGTGTAGGTGATCACAGCCCTAAGAGTAGCTATGGTAGTTGGTATCACATGATCACTCCCCGCATATCAACGTGTACGTTTCTACCTCATTCAGTCCTTGTAAACATCTAAACCCGACATCACCTTGTACGTTTCTACCTCATTCGGTCCTTGTAAACATCTAAACCTGACATCACCTTGTACGTTTCTACCTCATTCGGTCCTTGTAAACATCTAAACCCGACATCACCTTGTACGTTTCTACCTCATTCGGTCCTTGTAAACATATAAACCGGACATCACCGTGCATGTTTCTACCTCATTCGGTCCTTGTAAACAACTAAACCGACATCACCTTGTACGTTTCTACCTCATTCGGTCCTTGTAAACATCTAAACCCGACATCACCTTGTACGTTTCATTAGGTCTTTCGGGATCGGGTGGTCAGACTCGCCTATTTGGTTGATGCATGTCATTGCGCGGATCGATGTTCATGCTGCCAACCACTGGATTGTCTGGTCATATGGCTGGAATATTGCTGAGTTAGGTGTTAAACAACAGACAATCAAACACACATTAGGTCCCTGTAAACCGACTACTCCTCGAAAGTTTCTACCCCATTAGGTACTTGTTAACTTCTAAGACCAGCATAAACTTTCACGTTCGTCCTACATTAGTTCCTTATTTACATCTAACACCAGCATCACCTTCCAAGTTCGTCCACATTAGTTCCTTATTTACATCTGACACCAACATCACCTTCCACGGTCGTCCCGCATTTGTTCCTTCTTAACGTCCCTCATTTGATCCTTGTCTCCCGTCTTAGTTCGTTGGTAATGTCAAAGACGGAAATCACCTTTGTCTAATATGGGTTCCTTTTTAACATCTAGGACCGACATCACCTCCCACGTTTGTCCCTTATTAGTTCCTTGTTAACGTCAAAGGCCGACATCACCATCATGGGCTTTCCTCCCCCCTTAGTTCCCTGTTAACCTCTAAGACCGGCATCACCATTACCATGGGCTTTCCTCCCCCATTAGTTCCTTGTTAACATCTAAGACCAGCATCACCATGGGCTTTCCTCCCCCATTAGTTCCTTGTTAACATCTAAGACAGGCATCACCATGGGCTTTCCTCCCCCATTAGTTCCTTGTTAACATCTAAGACAGGCATCACCATCATCATGGGCTTTCCTCCCCCATTAGTTCCCTGTTAACATCTAAGACCGGCATCACCATCACCGTGGGTTTTCCTCCCCCATTAGTTCCCTGTAAACATCTAAGACCAGCATCACCATGGGCTTTCCTCCCCCATTAGTTCCTTGTTACCATCTAAGACAGGCATCACCATCATCATGGGCTTTCCTCCCCAATTAGTTCCCTGTTAACATCTAAGACCGGCATCACCATCACCGTGGGTTTTCCTCCCTCATTAGTTCCCTGTTAACATCTAAGACCAGCATCACCATGGGCTTTCCTCCCACATTAGAGCCCTGTTAACATCTAAGACAGGCATCACCATCACCATGGGCTTTCCTCCCGCATTAGTTCCTTTATTAACATCTAAGACCGGCATCACCATGGGTTTTCCTCCCCCATTACCGCCTCCGTGGTCTTGTGGTAGAGCGTCCGCCCGGAGAGCGGAAGGTCCAGGGTTCGATCCCGGGCCGCGTCATACAAAAAGACGTTAAAAGATTGTACTTGTTGTTACCCTGTCTGGCGCTCGGCATTAAGGGGCTTAAACAAGGACTGGTCGGCTCGGAGTCAGTATACTGTGTCTGAGTGGGGTATTCATGTTAAACTGCGGCATGGTATCTCAGTGAGCTAGCACTATAAATCGGCATCAGTCCGGACTAGTACAAGCAGCCACACACACAAATACGCGTACATGCACGTCGCTATATAAGTGCAATAATCTTGGAATTTCACCTCACCTCACCCCACATGTTTACAGACCGACACTGCAACGCCAAAGTCATGTACGCCAGTGAGTGGCGTTATGGCCCAATGTCGGAATAAACAATATTTCAGTCAAAACCTGGATTGTGTCCCTGGCAGGTGTGCTGAGCTTAATTAATGCAGGTCCTGATGGGTTTTCAACTAGGACTGGCATTGTGCTGACAGTCATTGATCCACAATTCGTGGCTAAATATAAATATGGTGTAAATTTTAATTTAATTAATAAACTGGCATGATTTTTTGTTGTTGATTTGTTTAGACTTCCATTGTGTAACATGCATACCGACACCTTTTGACACCCATTTAGAAATGTCAGAGAGTTGTTGAACTTTAAACATAATCCAAACGAAAGTTAAAACAATATGAACATAAGCAAATTCAGAATATATATAGTTCATTTCAAAGGAATTTTCTTAATTCACATAAGTATTTTCATTAAAATTTCACTTAAAAAAATGAACATAGAATACTGAAACGATGAGTGTAAAAAACAATTGACTGACATAATGTTCAACCTAATAATTATTACGTCGTTGGTTGGTAATATTTCCTTCTACTCATGTAACACTGTTGATTTTCATCTTCCTGATGAGGCAGAAAGTGAGACAATCAACAGGAAGCCAGACGTGATTATGACCATAAAACTTTAACGCCAGAGAATAACTAGTCTCAATTTATCAACGAAACATATTCTATCGAGGTTAAAATGCAAGATTGCATGAAAAGTATCAGACCGGATCACTATGGTGATCCTGGCTCGTCCCACCTGCCCCACCAGTCATCAGGAAACTTCCATGTAGGAGCCCGACCTTCTGTAAGTATTTGCTGGAATTGAACATGTTGATGATAGTGTACTTTGTGTGGTTTTTTTTTCAATAGATTGAGCCTTCATAGATTGAGGGCTAAACTGTATGGACGTTGACACTTGCTACAAACGGTAAGGCTGTATATTATGTGTATTATGTAAAGTTTGCATTTTAAAGTACAAACTGTTGATAAAATGATTTATCATATAATGGGTAGGTTTCTCGGCAGGATAAAGCCAACGGATAAAAACGATATCCGTTGGGGTCATATGCGGATAGAGATGCAAATATCAAAGGTCAAGAAGGGACTTCTTTCCCTGTTTATAAACAAACATGGCGTCGCCCTCGTCATTCGGCGATCGAGTCAGATTTAACCATCGTGAATCTGGATAAACTACAGAGATAATTGCTTTCATTATCAAAAGAACAGTCTAATATACTGAAAATCAGTGTCTTACTGTGACGTAGCTAAGGCACTTTATAAGTTTTGGCAACTTCAGAGATATAAATTTCGAAACAATTTTGCGAGGGCACGAGGCCTAGCCAAGCGGGATCAGTAGCCATGACTGGTAGACCTCTGCGGCTTGAAACCTTCTCCACAAATTGAAATGGTTGGATTTGGCCGAAATATGTTTGAATTGTTACCTTGTTTCGTTTTGTCGGTCTGTGTACATCTGACTACACTTCTAAACGTTATGACAGGACAGACCGACTGTCAACAACGTCTGACCATGGCCGTGACGTCTCATAGACTAGGGTTAGAGTAGCTTCCCTTTGACAAAGGGCAATTACTCTAGCGGACAGACCGATGGATTGCCGCGAAAGGCAATTAAAAACAATTGTTGTTTTGCGTATATGTTGCTTCGCCACTGTATAAGAAACAGATTTCAGTTGGAACTATATTGGCTACTGTCACTGTCCGACTGACACATCACTTACCCTGTGACGTAATAAATAATAATGCGCGCATTCCAGGGAAACTCGCAATGTTTCGGTAATGTTTGTGAGAGGGAAAGCGATTTTGAAGCGCAGAATTAAAGAATGACATTATATGATAAAGAGGTTATCACGCTTGTGTGTTTGGGGATGGTAAATATCCTGTATTAGGAATAAACACTATGTATTTAGCTCGTCAAGGCTCGCTAAATACAACGTTTATTCCTAATGCAGGATATTTACCATCCCCAAACACACTCGCGTGATAACCTTTATATAAGAGTATTAATACCGTGCAAGATTCAATACAATGTGACATTTTCAATCTCCATCTTTTTTTTTTGGTACTTTCAACTTCCTGCCACTCCTGATCCGTGTAACACTTTGTATTCTTCATATATGTTGCACATTCATGTTCTGAGTCGTCTTTGCATCCAACAATTGTTGTTTTCTTGTGTATGGTATGCTATTTGTAACTTTCTTATCAGTTTCAGTAAACGGTATGGCCACCTCTGTGATGATATGGGTGACATTCTTGGTAATTGCTACTGAAGGTAAAGCGATGTGATGTTATAATTTCTGATCTAGAGTTTACAGATGGTTAAATGATTAGTATTTACATCGTGGCATTTTTACACCCTAGTATCAGTGGAGACAGGTTTCTACTTCCTCATTATGTCAGTGCGATGCATCTCTAGCTGGGGAAGTGTAATGCTACCTGCTCTACAAATCTCTGCTCTCAAAGTGAAAATAGGGCAATTAGCACAACATGTCATAAGTAGAAGAAGGCTTTATTTTATGTCAACGTGATACACATCACTACATAGCTGTTTAGTTATAATCACTTTTGCTTATCTTTTACAAACTTTCTTCACACATTTTCAGTCATGTTCATCTTCATGGGAAGTGCCGTCAGCATGTACATGTAGGTGGTCATAGATAAACAGTTCTGAACACTTTTACCACAGTTGTGCATGTTCTATTCTTGTTAAATAACACACTTTTTTCTATTCTCAACAAAATTAAATAATACCTGTACTATAACTTGCAGCCATTCCATGCAATGACACCTATCACTGCTCAGACTGCGACGGAGTGTCTGGGGATTGCTTCTCTGAGTGTGACACGGGGTATTACGGACGAAAATGCAACTCTACCTGCAGCAAGAACTGTAGGAATAACAAATGTGTGATCTCAAGCTATGGTAGTGATAACTGCAATGACGGGTGTGTCCAAGGATACCAAGGCATCGGCTGCAACATACCATGTGACAGTCCAGGGGGTAACTGTACAGCATGTCCAGGTGGGTGTGATGGAGGATATTGTCAGCTGGGCTCCTTCTGTGTGTCTGGATGTGTAGACTCCCACTACGGGACTGGCTGTAATGAGAAGTCAGGTAAGCATGATCTGTCTGGTTGTGATATCAAAACTTTGCTGTAGTGTGTGTATCGATGTGTATTGGATTATACTCGATTCCGATTATATCATAAGCATGTATTTATGACGAAGTATCAAATAATTATGACATGAGGTGTTCGCTCAATGGTGAGCGTGTCCTGATCCGACCCCTCCATTGGTTCATTTTGTTGGACCGACCACAGCCACTACAACTAACAGTACATCACTGACCCATGTCCTTTTTTGTCCCTGCCCTGTAAGTCCACCTGTGTCGAAGTCGTTCTTGCCTGCAGCATTTTACTACTACGGATAACATTGTGGTTAAATATATTGGTAGACTGCTGGCTAAGTAACAGAGTGGACACACTGGGGCACTGTAAATAGTCAAGCTTCATAACTTTGGTAAATGATAACACGAATGGGGTTATTGCCTTGAAAAAACTATTTTTTTATGGATACGTCGTTGATTACTGGTTATGCATGTGTCATTTGTTGACAACATATCATATTATATCAGACATTACAATATGGGTGAACAACTCCCGATTGATTTTACTTTTAGCTCATTCATCCACTCATACGTTCACCTACCACAACCTCTATCGTTTATATGTACCACTACCTACACTACTGCCTTCCACTACCTGTCTTCCTCTCCTTATCTCTTGCACCTCCTACTGTCCTTTACATCTCCTGCTCCCTGTGTCATAGACAGATCACTTCCCTGTGTCATAGACAGATCACTTCCCTGTGTCATAGATAGATCACTACCCTGTGTCATAGACAGATCACTACCCCATGTCTTCCACTACCTGTCTTCCTCCCCTTATCTCTTACACCTCCTACTGTCCTTTACATCTCCTGCTCCCCGTGTCATAGACGGATCACTACCCCGTGTCATAGACAGATCACTACCCCATGTCTTAAACACATGACTACATCCATGTCTTCCACTACCTGTCTTCCTCTCCTTATCTCTTACACCTCCTGCTGTCCTTTACATCTTCTGCTCCCAATGTCATAGACAGATCACTACCCCATGTCTTAAACACATGACTACATCCATGTCTTCCACTACCTGTCTTCCTCTCCTTATCTCTTACACCTCCTGCTGTCCTTTACATCTCGTGTTCCCTGTGTCATAGACAGATCACTACCATATGTCATAAACAGATCACTACCCCAGGTCTTAAAACCAACACACACCATCTACTACACCTACCGCCCTCACCTTTCTACGCACATCGACCCATATCGTTCACACCTGCACCTACCCCTCAGCACTTACCACTACTTCCAGCTAGACCTTGTCTCTCATACACCTTCCACTGAGCCCCACCCCTGGCCCCACCTCTGGCAAAAAACACACCTGGCCAAGACCTTTATTTCTACCCCGTTTGCATATGGAAACTATTCATATACTAGTCACACACTTACGTATATACATTCGGCTAGCCTGTGTTGGGTTATGCAATGGAGTGACATCAATCGTGTTGTGTCACATGTTTTGCAAACCCATCCTTAAACTATATGTATAAATCAACCTTGTTGTTTGTCAGGAGAAATTGTTGGACTGCTTGTGGGACTAGCTGCAGCAACTGTCCTTATCATTGTAACGATCACCCTGGCTGTGTGCTGGTGTTGCCAAGCCTTAAGAAATGACAGGTGAGTGAGTGATCCACAGTCAGCAATATTCCAGTTGCCTCAACCAGTACGTGCTTTTAGATAAACACACGTGAATTAATGCACGGACTTATATTTATTTGTCTGCATCCTTCCCTGTAATTAAAGTGACATGATGCTTTGAACTGAAATACTTTGCTTTGCAGCCTCTCATGAAAGTCAATGTAAAGCCTATATTGAAACTCATACTATATAGTTTTAAAGATAACAAATAAATCATTCTAAGACTCTTACTTGCAGCCAGGACAGTGATGATAACTGTTCGGAACACACACACTAACAAATGCACACACACACACGCCAACACATATAACCTCATACACACATACACATCGACTTCTTCTTACCAATTAATCAACTTGCAGGTTTCAACTGTATGTCACTCCCACCCAGGACATGCATGTGTCACCAGAGGCCATTGATGTCCCGCAATATGATGTCGTTGATGAAGCAAAGATGTATGATGTGCGGACTGGTGGAGAACAACCAGCCTGTGCAAGTCGTTCTGGCTATGCAGGGATGAGGTCAGTACATCATTCTATCATATCACGTGACCTGGAACACGCAGGCCAAGATGAACCAGGAACCACCTCAGTGACCATTGAGCGTGAAAGTGGCACATCAAGTGTTTAAGTTCATGACATAAGTAGATGCATCTGTTGCAATGTAAATACGTTTCACACGCAATTGATGAAAATACAAGGGGTGCATTGTTCCTGGATGATGGTGAGTTTATTGATGAAGCAAGGGATGTGCGATGCACTCACGGATGACGGATAACCAAACTGTGCTAGTTGGCAATGAGGTCAGAACATAATTATCTCGTGACCTGGAACATGCAAATAAAAATGACATATGTTTGAAGATTTCACGATAAATATTCTGTTCCATGTGTGTGGCTCGACTCTAATAACATTCAATCTTGTTTTCACACGTGCTTTTGTCCCCCATTTACGAGTAAGTGTGTTTGTTTTAGCGCTGCATTGGACAATACTTCTTCAGTGACAGATGTTTAGCACGGGTATGGTTCTGACAAACCTGAAGACAAAACCTGGACAAATCATGGATTCGGACCCACTGTCGCAGGTTTCTGTTACGTCTGAGGGACAATGCAATTCAAAATGAAATATATATTCGTTGCCTAGCCTGCAGTAATGTCTCACGGGATAATCACCACAACCAGGTCGTCTTGCCCAAACGCTGTGAAACTTATTCATGGTTATTCATGAAATATGTCCGTATTATGTAGCATGTTTTGCAAAGTGAACATCATCCTCGTGACACCTGGAAACCTGACAGGCAAATGTAAGTCAAGCTGAAGGAACTACTGCCGCTTCCGCTTGTAGCGATACCCCAGTCACATGGTGCTGAGACATTGAACATCGTATCCATTGTGTCCATGTTACAAATAATCCTTAACTATTTCCGTCATTTGTGGTGCAAATGTACTATCTTGAACGCGAATGATTTGAGAAAACAATCTCAGGCAATCAGTGTTTGTTCAGTGACAGTGAAGCACACCATCTCCCTACACAACTCCATCAAATTAAACTTGCACGTATATACACATATCAGTATGTATATCTGCACAGGTTGGGTGTGAGTAACATGTACTGATGGGGTATTGATCCTATATAGGCCGTTTTCATTGGTGTATTATGGGAAGGGAAGACAGGTAGGAACGTCCCAAACGGGTGCATGGGCAATTTAGCCTTCGTTCTCTATCAGAAACAGTGTCAACTTTTCCAGTCCCTCAACAAGTGTGGGCGGGCGGGTAGCCTAGTGGTTAAAGCGTTCGCTCGTCACGCCGAGGATCCGGGTTCGATTCCCGACATGGGTACAATGTGTGAAGCCCATTTCTGGTGTCCCCCGCCGTGATATTGCTGGAATATTGCTAAAAGCGGCCTAAAACCATACTCACTCACCCAATCAACAAGTGCGTGTGTAGTGAGTAATGACAAAAAGAACACTGGACCTCATTATCCGCGATCATCAGACGAGAGTTATCTCAGGTATGTGACGGAAACATTGGACTCGTACATGACATTATGTTTATTTAAACATAAAGATTAATGAAGAAAGGAATATTAATATTAATTCGTCCATGAATTTGGGAATTATTCTATTTTGGATGTCAAATCACAATAAAACCTCTGATTGAATTGCGGGTTTGAGGGCCGCATAACCGTGGAAGCTTGTAATATTCAAAAGTAACTCTTTTTTCAGTCATTGTCGGTAGGCATATGTAATTATTTAGATCTTCACGTTCAACAATATGCTAAATTGCCGTTACAACAATTTTTAAGAAAATGTGTGGCAACACATTTCGTGCAGAAAACACTGCAGCATTCTCCAAAGATAATGTATTTAAGCTCTGAGGACGACAGATAACTTGAATTTGGGTGCTTTAGCGTAAACGTCTGTGACGTCTTACCTGTTGTGTCATAACGAGCGACATGACGTCATAATGGTGACGTGCGGCTTGGAATGCCAGCTTTGCACAAAACTTGCTCAGTTCACTTTATGTTACCCACTTCATGTTAGCTTTCACAGTTACTCTGCCTATATGATTTCTGTGCGTGTCATATGTGCGAATGTCGTATTACGGTGTAAATAAATTGCTTAAAGCATATACAGCGCTATATCTTGTTGGTAAGAAAGACATTTGGAAAGAGAAAGCTAAAGCTGGGTTTATGTGGGATAAGGGACTAAGGAGAAAGCTAGTGTTGTGTATGTATGAGATATATATCAGGCAAGATAAGGCTATATCCGTGTAGTTGTGGGATAAGGGACAAAGGAGAGATTTAGTGCTGTCTAGATTTGAGATATATGTCGGGCAAGAGAAGGCTATATCCCTGTAGTTGTGGGATAAGGGACTAAGGAGAAAGCTAGTATTGTCTTGATGTGAGATATATGTCGGGTAAGATAAGGCGATATCCCTGTAGTTGTGGGATAAGGGACTAAGGAGAAAACTAGTATTGTCCAAATGTGAGATATATATCGGGTAAGATAAGGTTATATATTAATATGGCTGTCTTGTTTGACGAGATGTCACATGTGGACGACCAGCCTGACTGTTGCCCTGCTGTAGATAACGTCTCCAAAGTGATGCGCGTTGATAATGTAGACGGCGATTTTCAGCCAGCGGTGGCATTGTGTAAATATTGTGTACGGTTAAAGAAGAGCACCTTATGAGCACCTGATAGTTAGACATCATTCTGTGATGTTCACACTAAATAACACGTATGCGAGTATAATGCTCCAAACAAACAAATTATATAAAGTGGCTGAGCATGCGCATGCAAATTGTCTATCACGACCATGAATATGTCTTGAAAGGTGCATTATTTGCATTTCAGAATAAATATGTTAGTTTTATTGAACTTTATATGAAGCACTGTTGCTTTCTTACAAATAAATCTTGACAACTGTTCATCGTGTGTCTTGAGCACTGCAATGCCTAATCGTAGATCGAAAGCCACCTTCGTAGAGATGATTCAGGCGTGTCGAAGAAATATATGAGCTCATAACGACAGCTTTCTTATCGCTGTGATAACAAACTACTGTCAGCTGACCCATGCACCCATAGTTGGTAGCACTGCGAGATATGTTTAAAAGGAAACAGCTCAATATGCCGCCTTACACTCACAGCTCATAATTCTTTTTAAAACTATTAGGCACATTTTTTTTCTGAAATATGCCTTACAACAAGTTGGCAATTTATTTTATATCTAACAATATAACACATACACACCACATACTCCACCCACACCCTCCCCAAAAATAATGAATGGCAGGCCGCTAAGACAAGTCATGGTGACATTGGACGGCGTGTAGAGCAGTACAGTTATGAAGACGACAGAGCCAGTAGAATTGAATTGACCCAGCGAGTGAGGAGTAACTCCGATGCTTCGAGCACTATTTAGAACAAACATGGGGGGCTTAACACATTCAAATGTTGCGAATAGTATTTGATGTGACGTGTAAACCTTTGAAAAACAATCTGCACAACCAGCATGCATGTAAGTGTGACACAATGTCAAATGTAAAGCACGTCTACACATGGGCACAGTGCTACTTGTGGACCGATAGTCTACGACATTCACGGCAACATCCCCCCCCCCCCCCCCCCCCAATTTAAAAAATAAATAAAAAAATATAAATAAATAAGTACCTTTAATCAGCTGAAACAGACCGCCTTACTACGGCTTGGATACAGCTGCATGAAGGTCATTAAAAACATGCTTGCTACTTGAGTGAACAATATTCAATTATTAGTACCAATCTTGCAGTTTAGTTTTCTGTTCACGGAAAAAACGACGTCATACAGGTGAGCGTATCCGGCCGGCGGGGGCACCCGTCATACAGGTGAGCGTGTCCGGCCGGCGGGGGCACCCGTCATACAGCTGAGCGTATCCGGCCGGCGGGGGCACCCGTCATACAGGTGAGCGTATCCGGCCGTCGGGGGCACCCGTCATACGGCTGAGCGTGTCCGGCCCGGGGGGAGCACCCGTCATAGAGCTGAGCGTATCCGGCCGGCGGGGGCACCCGTCATACAGGTGAGCGTGTCCGGCCCGGCGGGGGCATCCGTCATACAGCTGAGCGTATCCGGCCGGCGGGGGCACCCGTCATACAGGTGAGCGTATCCGGCCGGCGGGGGCACCCGTCATACAGGTGAGCGTGTCCGGCCCGGCGGGGGCACCCGTCATACAGGTGAGCGTATCCGGCCGGCAGGGGCACCCGTCATACAGGTGAGTGTGTCCGGCCCGGCGGAGGCACCCGTCATACAGGTGACTGTGTCCGGCCCGGCGGGGGCACCCGTCATACAGGTGAGCGTATCCGGCCGGCGGGGGCACCCGTCATACAGGTGAGCGTGTCCGGCCGGCGGGGGAACCCGTCATACAGGTGAGCGTATCCGGCCGGCGGGGGCATCCGTCATACAGGTGAGCGTGTCCGGCCCGGCGGGGGCACCCGTCATACAGGTGAGTGTGTCCGGCCGGCGGGGGCATCCGTCATACAGGTGAGCGTGTCAGGCCCGGCGGGGGCACCCGTTATACAGGTGACCGTGTCCGGCCCGGCGGGGGCACCCGTCATACAGGTGGGCGTGTCCGGCCCGGCGGGGGCACCCGTCATACAGGTGAGTGTGTCCGGCCGGCGGGGGCATCCGTCATACAGGTGAGCGTGTCCGGCCCGGCGGGGGCACCCGTCATACAGGTGAGTGTGTCCAGCACGGCGGGGGCACCCGTCATACAGGTGAGTGTGTCCGGCACTGCGGGGGCACCCGTCATACATGTCAGCGTGTCCGGCCGGCGGGGGCACCCGTCATACAGGTGAGCGTGTCCGGCCAACGGGGGCAGCCGTCATACAGGTGAGTGTGTCCGGCACGGCGGGGGCACCCGTCATACAGGTGAGCGTGTCCGGCCGGCGGGGGCACCCGTCATACAGGTGAGCGTGTCCGGCCAACGGGGGCAGCCGTCATACAAGTGAGCGTATCCGGCCGACGGGGGCAGCCGTCATACAAGTGAGCGTATCCGGCCGGCGGGGGCAGCCGTCATACAAGTGAGCGTATCCGGCCGACGGGGGCAGCCGTCATACAAGTGAGCGTATCCGGCCGGCGGGGGCAGCCGTCATACAAGTGAGCGTATCCGGCCGGCGGGGGCAGCCGTCATACGGCTGACCGCGTCCGGCCCGGCGGGGGCACCCGTCACATAAGCATTTAAAGGGAAATCATTTTCTGCCTGATACCCTCCCCCAAGAAAGGCGGGAACATATGGTCAACATGTCGACCATAAAACCTTTTGAAAGCGTACGTAACACCTCGCTAGCATATTCTAGCACACAACTGTGGAGCGGGAGAAGTGTGTTGCTCTTTCAAATCCTTTCAGAAAGAGCATGCCCCTGAAATACTGCAAATATTAATGTATGTGTGTGTATCTGTGTGTTTGTGTATGCATGTGTTTGGTTGTGCATGTGTGTGTGAGTGTGTATGCATGTGTGTGAGTGTGTGTGCGTGTGCGTGCGTGTGTGTGAGAGTATATGCATGTGTGTGAGTGTGCCTGTGTGTGAGTGAGTGTGTATGCATGTGTGTGCGTGTGCATGTGCATGTGTGTGTGTGTGTGTGTGTATGCATGTGTGTGCGTGTGCGTACGTGTGTGTGAGAGTGTATGCATGTGTGTGAGTGTGCCTGTGTGTGAGTGACTGTGAGTGGGTATGCATGTGTCTGGGTGTGCCTGTGTGTGTGCGTCTGTGTGTGTGCATGTGTGTGAGTGTGCGTGCGAGTGTGTGAATGAGTATGCGTGCGTGTGAGTGTGCGTGCATGTGTGTGAGTTTGCGTGCATGTGCGTGCGAGTGTGTGAGTGTGTATGCATGTGTCTGAGTGTGCCTGTGTGTGTGTGTGTGAGTGTGTCTGCATGTGTCTGAGTGTGCATGTGTGCATGTGTGTGTGAGTGTGTATGCATGTGCGTGTGTGCATGTGTGTGTGAGTGTATGCATGTGCCTGTGTGTGCCTGTGTGTTAGTATTAGGGATTTATATGGAGTTCTGGAGTCAACCACGACTATAACCAAAGAGCACATAGCCACCAATACCAACATGCCTTGGTCTAAAGTGTACAATATGTCTTACCAATTCAATATGTAAGTATTGATGACATGATGGTTAAATGGATCTAAGTTACTACATTTGCTTCTTTCCTTTGAGCCAACACACGTTCAATGTTCAAGCAACACCAGTAAGAATGGCTTCCACAACTATGTGTTATGTGTTAACCACTCAACTTCCCGACCAATATGTTATAAGCCACAGCAATCGTGGTGAGCTTCAAACCCACACTGAATGCAAAGCAGCAGTTTCACACCCACACAGTTGTCACCAGGTATCTGCTCTGAAAAGAAACAGAATTAAGTCACTTGGAGAGAAGAATTCAAGTCAGCAATTCCGATGAATAGAATTATAAGATCACACCACTCCAAATAACCAAAGCTAGTAGAATGTTAATCTTCAGCAATTGCCAACTCAATATTCACTTCTTTGTGTTGTATTGGTGACTTTCAGTTTAGGCATTGATAAAGGCCCATAAATCTCGCTAACATCGTACTCTCTAATCCAAATCATTTGCATGCATACAAGAGACGTCCAGGTGTGCTCACGCTGTATTATACATGTTATCAAAAGACCGAGTCTCGTCTCTGCCAGGAGGTGTTGTCATCTGCACTGCTGAAGTATAGGAGTGACGCACGGTCAGTATTTCAAGGCTGTTTGTGACTGTGCCTGTATTATGCGCACATGCATAACTCTAAATTACCTATGTCAGCTGGATTTGAGGATATTGGTGATGACAATATGTCAGCAGGGTGGCACGTGGTCCTGTACACGGCTGGTCTGTGTAAGTGACATTGAAAGGCGGGACGGGAGGTAAAGATGTGAGGGTAAGGCGGGGGTGGGTTGGAGTCGAGGTGGATTTGAGCTGTGTTACCAGTTGAAGATTAAATCATTTTTTTATAGCGTTGTTTATGCGTGTGTATGAATACGTTCATGCGTGCGTGCGTGCGTGTGTGTGTGGACATGAATACCCCACTCAAACCCGACAAGTCCTGGTGTTATCCGCTAAGTACCGAACATATGGTAGGGTTTCTGATCTCTGAGAAGACGGACGGGAGCAGTGGAGGGATGGAGTAAAGTTGTCAAATGCCTTGAGACGCTGCAACGTGTCATGTGTGAATATTCCCAATGGACTTGCACAGTGCCCCTCATGATGATGTGTATCCAATGATATGTTCCATGCATCAATGCATTCATCATTTAAACATGAAGTCAGGAATACCGAAAGCCACAATAAACTTCAGTTGTTCTTGACATTGAACAAGTGCTGTTCACGTGACTAAAATACCTTAAGATAGAATATGGAAATTCCTAATGAAAGATGACATCAGAGATAGCTGTAGTTCCGAGCTTTATTCCAGATACAATGTGCCAAACAACAATTCACATCATAAACAGCATCACAATAATTTCTTATCAATATCACATTATTTTAACATAATACTTACAGCTTAGATAAGTGTAAACATTTAATACCAAGACGATAGGTGTCAAAACATGTACTTAATATTTAAAACCATACCAGAATTTATTTCATACAGGACTCACCAGCTTACACGGTACAGTACAGCGTCATTATATTCAATTTAAACTCTGTCAGCTGAATTGTATATGTCACCATAATGTGGACCTTACTATATATACAATACGGTAACACTGTCGGTGTATTACCGTTTTTACCGTAATATAAAGGTACAATATGTTATTTTTATGCCAAACTCTAAAATGAGTATATATGCATATAAACATTACACACTAAATGTACATGGAAATTACAATGAATAATGCTGACTAACGATGCTTAATTAGCAAAGAGAGTTGTGAAATATAATGCTACTTTTGTTCACAATGTTACACAAAGACTGTTACACGAAAATAACTTTCTTCCTGAATTACCTGAAGATTAGAGTAGGTAGAGTAGTAGAAGGTGGGGTAGAGTAGGGGAAAGTGGATTAGTGCAGGGGAAGGTTGGTTAGAGTAGGGGAAGAATGGTTAGACTAGGGGAAGGTGGGATAGAGTAGGGGAAGGTGGGGTAGTGTAGGGGAAGGTGTGGTAGAGTAGTGGAAGGTTGGGTAGAGTAGTGGAAGGTTGGGTAGAGTAGTGGAAGGTGGATTAGTGTAGGAGAAGGTGGGGTAGTGTAGATGAAGGATGATTAGACTAGGGGAAGGTGGGGTAGAGTAGGGGAAGGTGGATTCGTGCAGGGGAAGATGGGGTAGAGTAGGGGAAGGATGGTTCGACTAGGGGAAGGTGGGGTAGAGTAGGGGAAGGTGGGGTAGAGTAGGGGAAGGTGGATTTGTGCAGGGGAAGTTGGGGTAGAGTAGGGAAAGGTTGGTTAGAGTAGGGGAAGGTTGGTTAGAGTAGGGGAAGGATGGTTAGAGAAGGGGAAGGATGGTTAGACTAGGGGAAGGTGGGGTAGAGTAGGGGAAGGTGGGGTAGAGTAGGGGAAGGATGGTTTGAGTAGGGGAAGGCGTTGTAGAGTAGGGAAAGGTGAGGTTAAGTAGGGGAAGGTTGGCTAGAGTAGGGGAGAGATGGTGAGGGCGGGGAGGGCAGAGGAAGTCTGGGTAGTGGGGATGTTTGTTGCTGAAAATACTCTATATAATTAAATGTGTCTACGTTTTTATGACACAATCTAAACATACTAACAGTTTATGTTCCTGTGCAGGCGCTGCAGCACCGACTCCACCAGTCATGCAGATGATCTTCCTCCTTCTGCTTCATAGTCCGTGAGTATTGAACGAACCAGGTATTTTTCGAAAGGTACAGAATAGAACATATCTCTCTACTGAAACATTAATGGTTTCATCTGCTACATAATTCAGGAAGCTATCTCTCTGATATATTTAGTTGTTAATGTCTTTGACAAACCAAAAACACCATTAGAGTCAGAGGTAATCGTGACTTTACAGATGTAATTGATTAATTGATTTCCTCGCCTTAATTTAGAGCAAATGTATATATTTGATATGCAGACAATACAAACTAAACTATATTTAATATACCATCATCTGCTGCAGTTCTATGAGAGTTTCACAAATGGTGCTAGATATTCTAGGTTTGGTTTGCACTTCTCTGTTCCATCATATTGAGGATCTTAGAATGAAGCTAAGTAAATATTGCATTATGTCATCATTCGATGCGGTTTGATTCTATTCATAAACTAATTTTACTGTTTGCTTCCATTTCAATGTTTCAGTATTTGAAGCACACGGACAAAACAACTGTGAATGGGGAAAGTATGGAGAAACGTGCAGCAAAGACTGCCCTTCCAACTGTATCTCTGTGATCACGTTTGTAGCAGGAACTGCTTGAGAAACACCTACAATCGCCAAAATGGTTTCTGCACATTTGGCTGTGATGGAGACTATACAGGCGACTTCTGCAACATTACTGCAGGTTTGGAAAGACGTTTATTTGTCCTCTGCTGTACCTGGGATATAGTTGCCACATGTAGGCACAAAACCCATAAGGTAATGTTGGCCAGGTCATAGGCATTTTAATTTTTTTAATATTAAACGTCAAGGCAAGAGAATTATCTTGAGTAATTGCATTCATTACTACAAGGCATATAACGAAGCTTGCCCACCATACTATTTATTAGGGTGGCTCTCTGAACAAATATAACAGATGACCTTCAACTTGGCATTATGTGTATTTGATGATTTTTATTGCAAAACCTGGTAATTAGTATCATTTATAAACATTCGTTCTTACTAATTTGTTATATATTTATCTCACGAATGTAAACTTTGGGTTCCAAACAATGTTTTACCATTCCTTACTTTACTTACCATTCTTATGTTATCAATATCAGATACAGGATGATACTTTAATAGCCAAGGGAAATTTACTGAAACTTACATGATGTAGGATTCATAAGCACAGTTATGCGATGTTTCATTAAATTTATGCATTATTTCTATCTATTGTTCAATACAATAATAGTTATGTTTCATAGCCCTTTAATTTCGTATACATTGATCTTGAAGCCAATTGGGCAGTAAAAAAAATGCAGGATAATCCTGTTTCCCATACTAGCCTGTGAAACATTTACGTGTATGAATTCGAGTAACGCTGAATTGATCTGTGTCTGCACAGGTACGTCGGTGACACCTCTTCCCAGGTAACACAGTACAGGTGGGTACACAACACAAATTGAGATATGTATTCCTATAGCGTTGGTAATATGATATGATTGTTTTACTGAATACCTGTACTGTGTATTTTGTCGACAGCACCACGTGAATCCAACACAGAGACAACACCGGACCTGGCTGCGATACTTGTCCCTGTGTTCCTCGTCCTGGTTGTTGTCCTCGCTGTGGTGGTGTTCCTAATGTAAGTGCAAACCTGACTCCAGCAGTTTGAGTTTAAGATTATTGCTGTATGTATGTATTAACACATGTTGTGAACTGACTGGTAATGTCTGAATCTATGCATTTGTGTCGACGGTTCGCACTCAATATAACACTGCCTCCGCCTCCGTAGTATCGTGGTAGAGTGTCCCCACGGAAAGCGGAAGAAGTTCAATAATACGTTAAAATATGGAACTTATTATTAATCTGCCCGGCACTCGTCATTAAGGGCTGAAATAAGGACTGGTCGGCGCGGAGTCAGTATTTGGGTGGTCATGTTAAACTGCGGCATGGTGTCTCAGTGGGCGAAAATTATATCATCGTCATTCGTCCGTAATAGCACAAGAAGAAAAGTACACATACACACTTTGCTATATAAGTGCAATAAGCTTGCACCCAATTTACCTGACCCCGCTCAATAAAAATATTACAGCCTTACGTTTACATTATCAAGTTAGTTTTAAAGATGCGAAGTGGACTGATGTTTTGGGCTGTAACGTGACATAGTTTCTATTTTACAGTTTATATACTTCTCAGTTAAAAGCCATGGTTGTATGCATATTTTCAGATTTTTTTACAAACGAAAGCGGAAAAGGGGAGAAAGCATATGAATTATCGATGCAGTGACAGGGATTCTTCCATGCTTGAGAGCAACTGCCAGGTAATACAGACATATAACCTGAGGAAGAACGTCTTTTTATATGAAATGGCAATTCCCTGATTTCTGAAAATAGCATTTCGGACATAGTGATTCATACATTTGTCATGGTCTCGATTTTGTTTATTTCAGGTACAGAGCAGGTGAAGATGGTGACTATACACCTTCAATTCTACTAAAAGTGACAGTGTATGTATGGGTTTGTATAAACGCCTTTTTATGTGACAATAATTAAAACTTATTGTGATTCGGGAAACTGAAACATAATTATGTTTGTTAGATTGATTAATCTTCATCTCAGGCGCTCGGCATTAGGGGGCTAAAACAAGTGGGGTATCCATGATAAACTACGGCATGGTAACTCAGTGGACTAAAACAAGGACTGGTCGGCTCGGAGTCAGTATACTGTCTGAGTGGGGCATTCAAACGGCGTAAAATCAAACTCACTCACTCACTCAGGTCGTACTTTGGACATCGAAATACAGATTAGAAAATGCAGTGTGGGTTGAACATCGAAATACAGATTAGAAAATGCAGTGGGGTTGAACATGCTTCATCTAACCATCACATTTGTTATGTTTCAGAACCTTTCATGGCAGAGGAAGGTGGCGCCAGTAAGTATGGGATACATATAATGGTGTATGGGTTGATGAATGAATGTTGTCACAGGAATAAATACGAAGTGGATGTCAATTGTTTTAATGTGTCCGTATGCCGTATAAACTTGTCATTGTATCATGACGAATATGGGATTGTATAATGTTGGCCAAGTGTATTGATAATTAACATGTTCACTGGTAATGCAATTACATTACCGTTTCAGTGGAATATGTGCAGAGCATATGTTTCATGACATCTGACTGTTAGCCGAATATATTGAAGAACAATAGTTAGTACCCTACACACATTAAAGCTATGTTTGCATGTAAGTTATTGCATTGTGTAGTGATAATAGGGAAAACAAAACGTTTTCCGGCATGTACATCTTTTCTAAATCAGCCTACACCATTTCAAAGTGCAGTGAATTTTGAGTTGGTAATTTGCAAACATAAAACACTCGATTTCAATTGTGCAAACATATTCATGTTAATTATTTACTTTTCTTTTCTGATCATCATCAAAAGGATATGCTGATTCCACCTGCAGTTTTGATCTCTTGGAAGATGAAGACTTCCCATCAGGTAAGAACAGAACACGTTCATCAGCATCAGTAATTACACGAGGAGTATTGTTCAGGTACGTCCTGTGCATGCATATGGTAACCTGAATCGTAAGGTGAATCAATGATGTTGATCACATATAAGTGTTTTATATGGGTGAGTGTTTATTATGTATATAATATATATAGTTGAAAAAATATTAAAATGAAAGTATCTATTGATGCAGATATGGTCCTCCTAAAATATAACTGTACAAGAAGTGTATATCAAACTCGGATAGTAGAATCTGAACTGGGATGGTGAATTTTACACATTTTGCTTCAATTGTCTAAACATGCTTATGAATGTTACAGGTACACTAGAACAGAAGATAAAAGATGTCCGAAGGGTGTTTGTTGAAACTGAGAGCTTTAGGAAGGTGAAAGAAAAGTTGGAGACTGTTGGCCATGTGACAATCAGCGGCGCTCGAGGAGACGGTAAAACATCCATGGCCCTGATGATGGGAGCTGAATACAGGAAGCAGGGGTATGAGCTGGTACTGGCTGAAGATGCTTATAAAGTACAGCTGTCTGATTATCTGGAAAAAGGCAAAGACGTGTGTGTCATATTTGATGACATATTTAAGACAGTCAGATCATATATGGATCTGACCGGTCTTGAGCACTTTTTGTACGACCTCCACGTGCACCTGGAACAGTGCGAGTCCAGATCAGAAAGAAGATACCAGCGTCTGCAGCAAGAACCAAGAGATGAACAAATTATGTTCAGTCATCCAAACATATGTGTTATATTCACTGCAGACACCAACGATCTTGAGCGAGCAATGTCAAAGCTAGGAGGCCAGAGTATTTTCCACAGCTCATCAGTTGTCAAACTAGGTTTTATAGGCAAGGAGAAGAAAGCATTGTGGCTACGTCACAAACGTCTAAATCAATGTGGGTTTTCCTCTGGTATGCAGACTTTTCTCAAGGTATGTTGGCTTTCAAATACATGATGAAAGTTTTTTCGAGAAACCTTTATTTTACATACAAAATCATTTTAGAACAATTGTTACCTCATTAGATGACAAGTCAGCTGCCCTCATCCTGATCTTACTGTGTGATAGGCAGCTTAACATCAGTCAACTGGAGAGTGAAGGTGCCAGCCCAGACCTAGAGCTTCTGTGTTACATTGTTGACAGAAGGAAACCCAACAACATTTTCGCATTCTGTGATTTATGATGTCTGTGCTTCTGCTTTATTCAATACTCAACCAGAGTTTACTCTTAAACATTGCAGCATTAAGTTCCTGTTTGAGCATGTACAGGATCAGCAAATAATCCCTAATGTTGAACAAAAACTCATCGTTTCTTTCTCAGGAGCTCATAATGGGATACTTGTTAACAAAATGGCTGATTCTCTTGCCAGTGATGCTCTAAGTGAAAACATCATGCATACCATTTGGGAGAGGAAAGAAATAGCTGTCAAAGTATCTCTCGTGATCAAAGACTGCCCTGTCTTTTGATACCAAGCACAACATTCTCCTTTATGCTTGTTTCACTGGGAACAAGAATATCCTGGAGCGACTTCTTCCTCACTGTGACATCGATAGGCGTGGGCTGAATTGCTGGACGCCAGTGATGTATGCAGTTGTCTCCGGACAGATGGAGTGTTTTGACATCCTTGTGAAACACCAAGCTGACATCACTTTATGTGATAGCAACAAGAACAATTTACTGCATTTGGCCTGTCAGCATGGAGATGTGTCCACTGTAAAACATGTAAGAAAAGTGCTCAAGAAACGTCATCCTGCTTTGTATCTCAACGGACGAGGAATAGGTGATTGGACATCAGTCATGTGTACAGCACTTTCTGGAAAGAAGGATGTTGTAGACTATCTTATAAAAAAGGAAGTAGATTTAACATTAAGAGATAGCAACAACAACACTGTGTTTCACCTTGCGTGTCAGTATGGACATCAGTCCATTGTAGAATGTCTGCTCCCCCACACAGACATCAATACTCAAGGCAACAATGGGCAAACACCAGTTATGTGTGCAATAATGTCTGGGAAGAAGGAAACGTTCGACCTTCTTGTTTCACACAATGCTGACATCACACTGGCCGATGATGACAACAACAGCCTCCTTCATGTGGCTTGCCACTTTGATGATGTTTCTCTTTTAGTGGAAATAGTGCCAAAGTTTGAAATCAACAATCGGGGAAAGCACGGCTGGACACCAGTGATGAAGGCAGCTGTAAATGGAAAGATAGATGCATTCAATATCCTGAATACACTGAAGGCAGACCTTACACAAACTGATGACAACGACAACAATCTCCTTCATCTTGCAAGTCATTGCGGAAATGTCTCCACTGTGCAACTGTTACTGCCAAAGTTTGACATCAACAGTCGGGGAAACAACGGATGGACGCCAGTGATGTGTGCAGCTGCCAGTGGAGTAGAGGGTGTGTTCCATCTGCTTGTGTCACAAGGGACTGATCTCACATTGAGGGATGACAACAACAATCACGTATTCCATTTAGCATGTATAGGTGGAAATATTTCCATTGTGAATGATCTCCTCTCAAGAACTGATATCAATTGTCAGGGAAACCACGGGAGAACAGCTATAATGATTGCAGCCCTGCTTGCAAAACCAACTCTGTTTAAACTACTGTTGTCAAAGAAGGCTGATACCACACTGACTGATGATTATGATGACACTGTCGTGCATCTAGCCTGCCAGGGTGGGAACCGATCCATTTGGCGGTATCTGATGCCAAAGTTTGCCATGGATGCCTCTGGAAGACATGGGTGGACACCAATCATGATCGCAGCATGGACGGGAAGGAAAGATGTGTTCGATTTGCTGGTGAGTCAGAAGGTTGATATCAGATTGATTGACGACGACAAAGACAGTGTTCTACATTTGGCCTGTCAGGGAGGGAACACAGCTATTGTTGAACATCTTTTAACGGTATTTGACGCCAACATTCAGGGACATAATGGCTGGACACCAGTTATGCATGCGGCGAGGGCAGGACAGAAGAATGTGTTCGACCTGCTTGTGTCACACGAAGCTGATCTGAAATTAACTGATGACTACAAAGATAATGTTCTGCACGCTGCATGTCAGGGAGGGAGCACAGCTATTGTGGAAAAGCTGTTGAGTATGTTTGACGTTAATGTTAAAGGAAAAAATGGTCGCACACCGGTGATGCATGCAGTTGTGGCAGGACAGAAGAACGTATTCAACATGCTTGTGTCAGAAAGAGCTGACTTGAAACGGCTTGATGACTCTGGGAACAATTTACTGCACCTTGCATGTCAGGCTGGAAACCAGTGCATCATAAAGTATCTCCTGACTAGATATGACATTAACAGTCATGGGGAAAATGGATGGACACCAATAATGATGGCAGCACTCAGTGGAAAGAAGGATGTTTTTGATCTTATTGCAACAAAGGGAGGTGATCAATCATTGACAACTTCTGAGAAGGATAATGTTCATCATGCAGCCTGCCATGGTGGTAACACAGCCATTGTCAAGAAGGTCATTGACAGCTTTGGTGTCAACTCAAGGGGACGGAATCGTTACACTCCTCTGATGAGGGCAGTTTGTGGGGGCCACATTGCTGTGTACAAATTCTTGGTGTCTCATAATGCTGACCAAACTCAGGTGGACAATGGTGGACACACTCTTCTACATCTTGCTAGTAAGCATGGTCACCTCCATATAGTGAAATACATCAGAAGCTCTGTTGATGAGTTTGACATCAACACTCAAGACAAGGTTGGTTTGACACCTGTTATGACGTCAATCTTATATGATCAAGCTGCTGTGGTGAAATATCTGAAACGTGAAGGTGCAGACATGTCACTGACTGACAACACTGGTGATGATGCATATACCCTTGCCCTCAAAGTAGGAAGCAGACAACTCATAGAGCAACTAACACTAGGAGGAGAGTCAGATCAAGGCAGACAGCCATTAACTCAAATAAAAATATCACAGGTTTTCTCTGAGAGTGTCACAGTCACACCATGGAATATGCTTATGAAGTCACTGGTGAGAGCACAAATGTATCTACTGGAAACATACGACTGCGGGGATCCTGAACTGAGGCGGCGTGACCACTTCAATGACACATTGCTCCATCTGGCCTGTCGTGGAGGAAACAGACAGTGTGTGGAGTTTCTGCTCCCATCCTATGACATCAATGTCCGAGGTCGGTATGGCATGACACCGGTGATGATGGCGGCTCTGTGTGGACATGAGGATGTCTTCAAGTTGCTGGTGGCTCGCAAGGCAGATCTCTCACTGGTCGCAGATACAGGAGAAGATATCCTTACTCTAGCTCTGCGGGGCAACAGCAAAAACATTATCACACACTGTGAGACACAAAAAGTGTTTTCTGTGAAATGAGAGAAATACATGTACGTTCAATCCAATCTGTCATAGTGGATTCATATTGCGATATTGAACAGCAATGTGTATCCTGTTCCAAGACTTTTAGTGTTGCTCTCTTGTTGATGTTCAGTACTTTTTCATGATGATGATATAAATCCTGCCGGGGTCCATGCAGGAAGCTAGGCACTGTAAGTCCCCATGGTCCCTAGTATGGTGATCACCAGCCCATTTCTATATTGTGTAGTTAATTCTTTCTGCTTTTAAAAGTTCCTCAACTAGTTTAAAAAAGACTCCGTAATATTCTAGTTATTGTACTGTCGTTCTATGACAAGTTTTTTTTAATAAATTATACATGTGTTATTAAATGTATTACTTCTCGTCACGTTATTGCTGAAATGTTGCCGTTGTGACGTTAAGTATTAACTTACTCACTCACACTTTCATGATGATATTCTGTTCCACAAGGGACTCGTGAGCATAATCCTTTATACAATTTTGCCATAGTCTTTTAAAAAAGCGTTTTTCTTGCTCACAGTTACTGATATATAAAATGACGTATCAGGAAATAGGATCAGATACATGTACATATATTTTGTTTATGCTATATATTTCAACTTTTTACTTGTTTAAGATTATCTATTTCTTTATTACTTACCTACGAATGAGCTTGCAATGCTTTTGAAGATTATAATACTGCTTAATTCGTAGATGTATTGTGTCGTTTATCAGGGTCGTACATTTGACAAGAGTGTGTGAGTGAGGTAGGTTTAACGCCGCTTTTAACAGTATTCCAGTTATATTACTGCGTGTCAGCTTAATGTGGGAGGAAAGCCCGAAGTGATGCAGGTCTCAGACGTTTACAACTTCGGTGATACCCACGAGCACGGGTATGGTGCTAACAAACCTAGAAACATAATCTGGGCGAACCGGGATTCGAACCCACAATCATAGGTTTCTGGCGTGCCAAATGGACGCAACTCAGCACAGCGAATCACGCGCCTTAGACGACTAGGCCACCCGTGACTCTCATTTCACAAGAGAGCAGCGTGGCACATATGCTTCAAAGTGAAGTGCTTTAATCCATATTCAGTTTCTAAACAAAACTAATGCTCATAACACCTAATTCAATAGATATACTATCTTTAAGATATTCATATAGGCATATAGGCACGATCGCTAACTCACAATGGAATATTTGTCTTTAAAGATCAGTTGTATTTTGTCTTCAAGTTGAATGATATCTGACAAAATGATGATAAAGGAATGACGGAAAGACAATCGGATTCGTCATTCAAATGACCATTTACCAAATATGTTCGTCTTTTGTTTTTGTTAATGTTTTTTAAAGTTGATATTTGAATGACGAAATAATTGTTCATTCGCCATTCAATTGCATTGTAATGATTCAAGTTAAATGACGAATGAGAGAGTGAATATGGTTGTACCCCACTTTTGGCAATATTCCAGCAGTACAATGGCAGACGACCCAGAAAAATTGGCTTAACTCATTGTACCCATGTGGGGAATAGACCCTAGATATTTGGCGTAACGACCCAATGCTTCAGTGGTGTTGATGTGCCAACTCGACCAACATATGTACGAACGTCAACAGGCTACACGTATGTATTGTGCCAACCCGACCAATACAAGAACAAAGTTCAACTTACTCTACTGATTGGTAATTGTGTCAACTCAACCAACACATTAAATCAGGTCAGCTTACTCTACTGATTGGTAATTGTGTCAACTCAACCAACACGTGAACTCAGGTCAGCTGACTCTACTGATTGGTAATTGTGTCAACTCTACCAACACGTGAACTCAGGTCAGCTTTCTCTTCTGATTGGTAATTGTGTCAACTCTACCAACACGTGAACTCAGGTCAGCTTACTCTTCTGATTGGTAGTTGTGTCAACTCTACCAACACATTAAATCAGGTCAGCTTACTCTACTGATTCGTAATTGTGTCAACTCAACCAACACATTAACGTACGTCAACTGACTATACATACCGCGATATAGCTGTAATACTATTAAAGCGGCGTTAATTCCAAGTCGCTGACTGACTCACTCACTGTTTATAAGTATTGGTATTAATGTACCAACTCGAGCAACACAGGAACGAAGGTCAACTCACTAAACTTATTGGTATTCATGTGTCAACTGGACTAAATGGTCTACATGCATCAATTATTAGTATTAACGAGCGAACTCCAACACAGGCAACACAGTCAACATGCTATGCTCATTGGTATAAATGTGTCAACAGGACCAACACAGGCACAAATGTCAACATGCTATGCTCATTGTTATAAATGTGTCAACAGGACCAACATAGGCACAAAGGTCAACATGCTATGCTCGTTAGTATAAATGTGTCAAAGGACCAACACAGGCACGAAGGTCAACATGCTATCCTCATTTTTATAAATGTGTCAGCAGGACCAGCATAGGCACAAATGTCAACATGCTATGCTCATTGGTATAAATGTGTCAACAGGACCAACATAGGCACAAAGGTCAACATGCTATCCTCATTGTTATCAATGTGTCAGGAGGACCAACATAGGCACAAATGTCAACATGCTATGCTCGTTGGTATAAATGTGTCAAAGGACCAACACAGGCACGCAGGTCAACATGCTATCCTCATTTTTATAAATGTGTCAGCAGGACCAGCATAGGCACAAATGTCAACATGCTATGCTCATTGTTATAAATGTGTTAACAGGACCAACATAGGCACAAAGGTCAACATGCCATCTCATTGTTATAAATGTGTCAACAGGACCAACACAGGAACAAAGGTCAACATGCTATGCTCATTGTTATAAATGTGTCAACAGGACCAACACAGGAACAAATGTCAACATGCTGTGCTCATTGTTATAAATGTGTCAACAGGACCAACACAGGAACAAAGGTCAACATGCTATGCTCATTGTTATAAATGTGTCAGCAGGACCAACACAGGCACAAAGGTCAACATGCTATGCTCATTGGTATAAACGTGTCAACAGGACCAGTACATGCACGAAGGTCAACATGCTATGCTAGTTGGTATATATGTGGCAACAGGACCAACAAATGAACGAAAGTAAACATGCTATGATCGTTGGTATAAATGTGTCAACAGGACCAACACAGGCACGAAGGTCAACATGCTATGCTCATTGTTATAAATGTGTTAACCGGACCAACACAGGCACGCAGGTCAACAGGCTAAGGTACTGGGAGAAAGGTGCCACGCCTCATGGGGACCATGTCATAATGATAGGGCTGGTACCTATGAAATTGGTAACGATATGTATAGGGTATAACAGGAGTGTTATAGACAAACCAGCGAAGAGAGGAAGACACACACAGGTTACTTCCGACTTCCATATGGTGCCAGCTGAAAAGGAAGCTGGACGAAAGCCTCTGCCCAACTTATGCCTGGACACTGGATGGACGGGTCGGGAACAAGGGAGACAACAGCATCAATCAATAATCCGAACCCAGTTTGGACGTAACATAATAATCCCTTCGCCGTAGCTTAATTAATCAGGTTAATGATGTAATGCTTGATTTCAGCATCACGGCTAAGGTATAAAGGTCAGCGGCGAGGGACTCGACTAGTGAGTGAGTGAGTGTGTGAGTTGGGTTTAACGCCTCTTTTAACAGTATTCCATTTATATCACGGCGTGTCAGCTTAATGTTGGAGGAAAGCCCGAAGTGATGCAGCTCTCAGACGTTTACCACTTCGGTGAAACCCACGAGCACGGGTATGATGCTGACAAACCTAGAAACATTATCGGGGCAAACCGGGATTCGAACCAACAATCATAGTTTTTTTGCGTGCCCAGGGAATGCAACTCTGCACAGCGATGCCTGAGACGACTGGGCCACCCGTGCCCCAAGACTCGATTAAACATAGGTAGTGACTGGTCCTAAGCATATCAATGGCTCAATAAAAACTGCTAAATGTCCTTGTCATGTTATGTGGCCCTCGCTTTGTTTCACATGAGAATGTTATTGTCATTGTGTTTCAGTAGACAAGAGTTCTGAATTTGATTTTGTATCCTGCTTTTTAACATTTGACTTATGTCTGCAATGTGACTATAACGTATCAATATATACTCGCCGCCAAAAAGAAACGCGAACGATAGAAACATATAGAGAGATAACTACGCTATGCATATGTTTCCAAAGCAGTCAAGTGTTACCATGGAGTGACTTTCTTATTACGATATGCGACACGAGATTTCCAAACTTAACACGTTAATCCTGCACGAGACAAATCTGGTCATGGATCTATCACGTCACATGTGATGCATTCATGAGCGTCAGTTGACACAACATACCCGTATGTTCGTTTGCGCATAGGACAAAACTACTATCTTCTGTCTCTTGAATATGAGCATGTCTTCATATCTTCATATATTAACCATCATACACGATATTCGCGTTTCTTATTGCGGTGAGTATATAAAGCTAAGATCAAGTTTTGGTTGCGAAATCACCTTTCTTCCTCGTGTTTCAGTATTTGCATATATCAATGTATTTGATAGTATTTTCTTCCGTGATATTTCTCATTTTCCTCGTTTGATGGAAGATGAAAGTAGTAGTGTGTCATTAATTGAAATGTAAAGTAGATGATTATAGTGAGACAGAAGGATACAGGAGGCCGTCGTTTTTCAGCAATAGCAAGTATATTATACTACTTCTTTCTTCAATAATATAGTTTTAAACACTCATAAGACGACGTGTTGACAGTGTATAAGCTATGCGGACACCGTATGTCAAAGCCATATCGTTGCCCTAAGAGAACAAAATACCCAACCAACATTTGCGTAAACCTTTTCTGAAATAATCAGTAAGAAAACTCGCCTTATAATGTACTCATGTCTGGTTGTAGCACATGATGTAATAACACAAGAACGTGTTTTCTTGCATGTTGCCACACCTTCAACCAGCTACACCATGTGCTCAACGTACTGCACGTGTGTTCATCAGATAATATGTTCATGTGTTTCAGAAAACAAACATGACTGTGCTGACCAACCTCTGCAGCATCTACCTGGCTATGTCGATATTCGGTAAATATATTTAACAGTTTCTGCTAAAGATGTTTTGTTATTTTGCTGTAATATCAAGGCCATGAGAAAGTCAATTAGAATAATGTCGTGTGTGTCTGGATGTGCAGTCTCCTACCATTGGGCTGGCTGTAAGAAACTTTGAAATAGAAGTGACAAAACTATGTCCATAATTATAAATAAGCTTCTTCCCAAAAGCTGTACGTTTCCGTCTATATCATTAGCATGTGTCAATATTTCAGCAACCAAATGCAACGACAACCAACACTGTTCAGACTGTAACAGTACAACGGGACACTGCATCACAGGCTGCGAGTCTGGATACTACGATAAGAAATGCATGTCTGTGTGCGGCAATAACTGCAGAAATAAGAAGTGTATAATGTCCAACACTGGCAATGATTATTGCACTGAGGGATGTGTCCTAGGGTATCAAGGTCCGGGGTGTGGCAAACCGTGTTACAACCCAGGAGGTACCTGTACTGCATGTCCAGGTGGGTGTGATGGAGGATATTGTCAGCTGGGCTCCTCCTGTGTGTCTGGATGTGTAGACTCCTACTACGGAACTTGCGGTAAGACTTGTTCACGTTCATGTAAATCCTGTCACTGGCTGACAGGGACATGTTGCTACTGTCTTGCACCATATGACGGCAAAAAGCATATACAATATTTCTAACATATTTTGGATGTACGTGGTAGGTTAAATCTTGTTAATGACCATCTAAAGTCATCGACTCGAAAGAGAACATCACACTGTAAACTAATTGTATAAAAAAAAAAGTTTTGATATATATTTTAATCAGTTGCATAAATATGGTCCTTTCCCTTTGTTTCAGTGGTGGCTGAAGCAATACAAATAGATTTAGTTTGGTGTTTGGTGCATTATCAGATGCATGTATACATCCCTTTTCTTTGTGTTTCAGCTGTCAAAGTAATTGATATGAACTTAAAAGGGATGAGAAACATAACGGTTATTGACAACGAAACTGTCACCTTCCGGTGTGTGGTTCAGGGATATCCGCCACCAGACGTGGTGTCTATTGTCCATGCAGGAAACCACATACCTGCCATGGACATGGTTAGAAAGAATAACACTGTACATGAACGTGCTGTACGTATCAGCAGCTGTTCCCAACTTGGGAGGTATTACTGCAGAGTGACCAGCTCTTCTGGCATATTTGAAAACCATTTACTGGCTGTAGAGTTGCAGGGTAATTATAACCTTCATTATTTTATGTGACTAATTTGGTTTTCTAGTTGTGTCTATAGTTCAATGAAACTACAACACAATGTGCATCTTTCGTTTTTTTCAGTTAGGGCGTTAAATCATCAGGTTATGAACTTACCATTTAATAATAACATGGCAAAAAATTATCACCTCGTGGAAATTGTAAACGTTCGGCTGTTAACAATTTGAGTCAAGCAACAACTACCTTAGTACTTAATTCAATTCAGGGGATTCACATTTCATTTCTATTTTTCCAGCAAGTCCAAGGAAACACGTTGTAAATGACTGTGAAACTGAAGCTCCTCAAAACGGAAAAGCGCCTTCTGGGAGAATAACATTCACTCTGTGTGCCTACCCAGACCCTGTATTAATTAAATTGCATTTTGAAAGGCATAAGCCTCCAAAAGACATCACACACATTAATAAGTACAATTACGCTATGAAGATGTTAATGTCAAACATCTACGAGTATACACTCACCATATCCAACATTGCTGAGGAGGACTTCGGGGCATATACTTTCAGCTTTGCTTACGACGAACGAGAAATTGATATACTCATCATTGCTTCCCAGCCGAAAGGTACAAACTGAAGTATAGATCAATGATTTGTAATGTATTAAAATAATAATGTATCGTTATTCTTATAGCAAATGCTAAACGACCAGAGTACATTACTAATGGAAACAATATAGCCAGTGTTACGTTTAGGATGGTTTCTATTTGATACAACACTCTTTTTTCAGAAAGTACGGATCTCGCCTTTTGTTCTATTGCCATTATTATCGGGACCTCTGTAGTGTGCATCCTGCTAGTCTTCATTGCTGTGGCCTGCCTCTTACGTTGGAAGAATGACAAAGGTAAGGATGAGTTATATACTATGTGTAATATTTATATTGCTCTATGTCGTGTTAACTGTGTGTATCATGACGTGTCAGTAGATGTTATATATATATTACTGTGAGTCGTCGTCATTCCTAGGCTTATTAAACTTATTTGCTTTCATTCACAACGACGTTAATAACCATCTGACAAACGAGACTATGGGCTGTTTTCACAAAGCGATCGTAGCACTATTTCCTTGAAGAAACTGAACTCGTAACGTATGTCAGATCACTTCCGCATGTTTGTGATAATACATTATAAAAATTTGTCAAAATAATGTACTTCATATTTTACGTTAATATTTCCCTCTAAGCAACTGAAAGTGATTTACTGGAAATGTTCAGCTAAACAAGGTCACTGAAACTCCTTAGCAGCCAATAGTGATTATGTAGCAATCCACAGTCTAACAAGTACTATCACCATCATCATCTTATATCATACATCACATTTTCCAAAACTACAAGCGACATATGTAATTAACAGTTGACTAGATTGTTTAATGACTATTGTTTATTTTTGCAGACTACTGGAATGCCAGGTGAGTTCTGGAAAAACTATTCTTCCACATTTTTTAAAATACTTATACTTAATCCCTGAAGTATTTAAACAAAATAATAATCAATAGGAAAAAAGTTGCAGACTTTTTTTTTAAAGTTACATTAAATATATTTTGAAAACTAGTATCAGATTGGAATAAACAAAAAGTGAAATGAAACAATACAATCAATCGACAAATCTGACTGCCCGAGATAGCGTCTCTAGGAAACATTAAAACCCTATACACACACAGTCACAGATGGCATGATGTATTCAGCAAATACAAATTGTAAGGCTTGTGATACAAGCTATATATAGGGATGTGCAATAACCTTCACGTCTATAAGTATATGACTAATGTTATGTCCTTGTCCCCACAGGTGTGTTCAGCCCTACATCACACCTACACATAGTACACATGTGCAATAACCTCCACGTCTATAAGTATATGACTAATGTTATGTCCTTGTCCCCACAGGTGTGTTCAGCCCTACATCACACCTACACATAGTACACATGTGCAATAACCTCCACGTCTATAAGTATATGACTAATGTTATGTCCTTGTCCCCACAGGTTTGTTCAGCCCTACATCACACCTACACAAAGTACACATGTGCAATAACCTCCACGTCTATAAGTATATGACTAATGTTATGTCCTTGTCCCCACAGGTTTGTTCAGCCCTACATCACACCTACACAAAGTACACATGTGCAATAACCTCCACGTCTATAAGTATATGACTCATGTTATGTCCTTGTCCCCACAGGTGTGTTCAGCCCTACATCACACCTACACATGGTACACATGTGCAATAACCTCCACGTCTATAAGTATATGTCTATAAGTATATGACTCATGTTATGTCCTTGTCCCAACAGGTGTGTTCAGCCCTACATCACACCTACACATAGTACACATGTGCAATAACCTCCACGTCTATAAGTATATGACTCATGTTATGTCCTTGTCCCCACAGGTGTGTTCAGCCCTACATCACACCTACACATGGTACACATGTGCAATAACCTCCACGTCTATAAGTATATGTCTATAAGTATATGACTCATGTTATGTCCTTGTCCCCACAGGTGTGTTCAGCCCTACATCACACCTACACATGGTACACATGTGCAATAACCTTCACGTCTATAAGTATATGACTATAAGTATATGACTCATGTTATGTCCTTGTCCCAACAGGTGTGTTCAGCCCTACATCACACCTACACATAGTACACGTGTGCAATAACCTCCACGTCTATAAGTATATGACTCATGTTATGTCCTTGTCCCCACAGGTGTGTTCAGCCCTACATCACACCTACACATGGTACACATGTGCAATAACCTTCACGTCTATAAGTATATGACTATAAGTATATGACTCATGTTATGTCCTTGTCCCCACAGGTGTGTTCAGCCCTACATCACACCTACACATGGTACACATGTGCAATAACCTTCACGTCTATAAGTATATGACTATAAGTATATGACTCATGTTATGTCCTTGTCCCAACAGGTGTGTTCAGCCCTACATCACACCTACACATAGTACACGTGTGCAATAACCTCCACGTCTATAAGTATATGACTCATGTTATGTCCTTGTCCCCACAGGTGTGTTCAGCCCTACATCACACCTACACATGGTACACATGTGCAATAACCTTCACGTCTATAAGTATATGACTATAAGTATATGACTCATGTTATGTCCTTGTCCCAACAGGTGTGTTCAGCCCTACATCACACCTACACATAGTACACGTGTGCAATAACCTCCACGTCTATAAGTATATGACTATAAGTATATGACTAATGTTATGTCCTTGTCCCAACAGGTGTGTTCAGCCCTACATCACACCTACACATAGTACACATGTGCAATAACCTCCACGTCTATAAGTATATGACTCATGTTATGTCCTTGTCCCCACAGGTGTGTTCAGCCCTACATTACACCTACACACAGTACACATGTGACACTGGAGAATAGTGATGGTCAAGGCTACGAAGACATTAGAGATTCCAGAGTGTGACAACATTCACATGACACTGATGGGGGTGGAATTCTATACCATTGTGAGTCAAAATGAACAGTTTTGCAAAGGTACATCTGCTGAATAAACTTCATCATATACTAATGCATGACTTAAGTCAACAGAGCTGGGATGTACTGAGGTTCGTGTTGCTGTCCTCATTGTCGCCGTGATCACAACGAATGCAGATGCATATTTAACTATGTATTTGCATTTATTACCGTAAATTATACAATTTATGTATGCATGTCCGCCTTAAGCATCGGTCAGTTCACAGGCGTGAATCCATTAACCCACCTTATCACTCCTGTCATATGGCGATTAACAATATGCATACCCTGACCATGCACACTATCTAAATAAGACAATATTTGACTGGCTTCCTTGTATGATATATTATATTATACTTTATAATTTTTTTTAGTTATTACATAGTTACAATATCCAAATATGTAATGTTGAATCGTAATTTGTACGTATATATGATTGGAGATTCACTGCACATTATGTAACCAGGCAGGTGGATATATAAAATGTAATCCAAGTGAAATACCCTTGTATTAAACCCTTTTATCTTTGGCAAAAAAATTCATTCACAGGAAAACTGTTTGTTTCGTAATGCTTTTTACAAATGTGACAGGGACAAGAGAGATACCGAGGTGAGAGTGTTGAGGCATCCGGCTTCCTTGTCAGAAGGAAGGTAAAACACACACATGATGCTCACCGCATATTAGGTATTACCCATCTACATAGCACAGAATGCACACACACACAAAATATTCCGGCTGTTCTGAAGTTATGTTTGTAAACAACTGCTGATAACCGCTCAAGCTTTCACGGCTCTGTTCGCGTTATGTTATTTCTGCCCCGGTGAGCACACCGTTGGTGTATGCTTGTCACATGACCGGACTTTTATCTCGTTTGCAAACAAATGCTCCTGTATCTGAACTAAAGCATAAAGCCTTCCGGTGTTCTTTACATATTTGTTCCCATAATAAATATATTCATGTAACTGCAACCGCGACAGTGAGGTATATGGCATTATTGCGTTACACATGTGGTTATGAAGCCTTTCAAGGATTACTCATTTCTTTGGGGTGGACTGCAGTTGACCCATTCCTTCGTCCAGAGACAGACATTACTGGGAGGCAACAGTGTCCGCCTCAGACAAGTGTGTGACTGATGTTGTACGGACACATTATCTTGCCGTATTTCTGCCAACGTTATAATATTGACATGTTAGACAAGTTAGAAGAAACTATTTAACCAAAAAATGATGTGGATGCGCCATCATGCTTGGCGGTAATGGAAGAACGAAGCTACCAAGGATACGATAGCTCACTAGGGAGGTAATTTGAACAGCGACATGACGTCATTCAATTATGATGTAACTCAAATAAGTGTACAGGATGAAGAACCGTCGGCGCCTTCGACCCTTAAGCAAAGCATCTTAGAAGTAGCATTCAACAGTCTTCCTGTTCCTACCTTCACATGTATCATAAAAAATAATTTATAAGATGCCAAACGACTAGCAGATATGACATTTACCAGTTGAATAAACCGTCTCAAATTTATATTGTTTAACGTTTCAGACTACTGGCATATGAAGTGAGTTCTCAGGAAACTGTACATTTAGTATTTCTAAAAGTAACTATTAATTTGAAAGTAGTTATATGTTATATCCTTGTCCCAACAGGTTTGTGCACCTACAAGCGAGTCACGAAAGAACGAAAGAAAGACAACTAACACGTGTCTGTGATGGGGTGATACCAACAGTCGTGGAAGTGTACAATGAGAGACTTATATTAGATATACCTAATACTCAGTGGCAGAGATAGGGGTAGTGCTGTGTACCATTGCAAGCCATTGTGCAAAGGTGCCTCTGCTGAAGTTTAATGATATGCTAATACATGAGGTGGCTTAAGTCAGTAGTGCTGGAATGTACTGTAACACGTGCTCTTGAATTCAGTTTTGTGCTCTCAACATTTCAATTTGTAAGTACATTTATCATCGCTCAATATGTGATGTATGTGTGGCTTCCTTTGAGGTATCAATCAGTAAACAAACAATTAGATATAGTCAACAATCATCACTCCTGTCAACTGGTGGGTAAGAAAGTATATACCTTTGCCACACCCAATATATATCACAAAAACATTAGCTTCTTTTAATTTATGTACTGAAACTTCTGAACAATCCATGTTTCATCTATCACCCAGAGATAGTTTTGATTGCATAATAATGTTTGATGAGCTTTATTGTATGATATTATTATAGTGTATATATTATATTTCTGTTTATATGATTACAATATATAAACGTGTAATGTTACATTGTAATGTGTATGCTGTAATATATGTAATATAAGCCATCGCTTGATTAACTATTCACTATACGTACTGTAACCAGACAGGTGCCATCATGCTAACATATGTGAAGTTATGTATAACATGTAAACAACGTGTAGCCTGATCAAAACCATTGTAATATATTATTTGTGCCTTTGGCAATAAAATTCATGTATTCAAAACAGCTTGTTTCGAGATGTTTTACACATGAGGCAGGTACAAGAGAGATAGCTGGATCTGAGCGCTGAGGCAGACTTCCCCGTGAGAAGGAAGGTGAAATGCATTTCACAACAAAACATGACCGTAAATTACTATCAAATTGAAACAATGTCAAGTGAGCACACATATTGTGATTGCGATCATAATATTTCTATAGGAGACAACAATATAAGTCAGCGTATGTAGTGCAGACTAACTACATTATCTTAATATACTTTTCAGTTACTCGGTTGAAACATTAGGTTTGTAATCAAGGATTAGTTGAAGTTTAATTTTTGCTGACATTTCCATTGACATTTTTGCAGTTACGCAACTTTGGAGAGTGGGTGATTGTTTGATCAAGTCAGGGAGGATTTCTTCAACACTTAGCACTAAAAACGCAGGTTTAAAACATCACCCATCTTCACCTAAGCCAAGTTTCTCTGCTTTGAGCAATCCCCAGCATCGAGTGAGTGAGTGAGTATGGTTTTACGCCGCTTTTCAGCAATTATAGCTGCAGGGGATACCAGAAATGGCTTTCACACATTGTACCAATGTCTGGATTCGAACCCGGGTCTTCAGAGTGACGAGCGAACGCCTAAACCACTAGACTACCCGACCGCCCCTGCAGTAACAGTATATACTGTGGGCAGTTTACTTTAAAAATCCACTTATCATTTTCGTTTTATTGCAATGTGTTTAATATCACAATGCGTGTTATCTGTTCGAGGATGTATTTCATATACTTTTTAGGCTTGTTTACATTAAATATGACACGCACCATCATATTAATGAGTATCATAAGGCATGGCTTATGAATTTGTTAAAATATCATATTTAGAGGCTTGCATTTTCCTTAAGATTAGCTTTACTATCAAGGATGAAGAAAGATAGAACGAAACTAATGGTGTTAAATTATCCCCAACTACCTTGCGTAAATGAGGAGTGATTGTTCTTACTTTAAGATGAATCAGGAAATTGCGACTAGATGTGTTGAATATGACGATTTCAAGCACACGTTTTCTTTTTCTTTTGAAATCTCCACTCTCTCAAACGAAATCATTCGTTGTGGTTCAAATATAGTCAAAAGGCAAGTGTGGTATATTTTGAAGGAACAAAGATTAAGACAAAAATGACACAACCAGTATGACAGTATTTCAACATATGACATCAATGGCTGGTAATACTTAACCAATTCAAACAGCATTATTGCTATCTCTCCACAAAACGAGGTGGTCGGGTAGCCTAGTGGTTAAAGCATTCGCTCGTCACGCCAAAGGTCCGGGTTCGAGTATCGACATGGGTACAATGTGTGAAGCCCATTTCTGATGTCGCCCACCTTGATATTGCTGGAATATCGCTTAAAGCGGCGTAGCACCATACTCAAACACTCACTCGTCACAAAACAAATGCCATTCACTTAGGTCAGGAAATTACTAAGAAACAAACGCATAAGGAAGTGAATGTCTTATTTTCAGATTTCCAACATCACATTTTGAAATCGCCAAGTGAACGTGTCAAAGATATTTGAGCAAGTCATGAAGTTCAATAATTGTTTTCTTTTAATCACGATACACGTCCTTTTAACACATTTTACTTTTTTGTGTAATTTTTAGTGCTGTTTCCCTCCAGTTTAAGTATTGGTGTAGTGTTATTGTATATTACTCCGACATGACACGGGTGTTGAGACTCTATGTTTGTATATGTTACTGTGAAAGTTTTGGGAGGACAAAAGAAGTGAAACTATTTAATTAATATCAATGTCTCCCTGTGGTAATGTACTACAGGAACATGAAAGCTGATCACTTGGGACCTCCATACACAACTTTACCCTGTACCGTGATACGATGGTATACTTCTCCCATATCAAACTGAGTGCTAGGCCCGGCCTTTACTCGGTGGTACTTAAATAAATGAACGTTTATCTGTAAGATATGCATTGTTAGATAAAATAAATGACATCTGATATAGAGAACATGAATAATTATAAATGTTGTTGGGAAAATTTGGTTCCGTTTAGCGTACATAACAAGTACTGCGATACCCCGAGGTTGCAGGCTACAACGTACATGGCTATGGACATGGTGTATACAAGGCCAACTAGGTTGCTATATTAATTATCTCCTATGAACATTGGTTGTATTTACAAAAATATGTTTGCTATGTTTGAACCCTGAATACGCTACTGAAATATTTTTGCCCCAAGAAAACATTTCCTTCTGTAGCAAAATCATATTGATCCAATATCATCTTCCCTATATTATAATGCAGCTATGTTAGTCATCAACATGTTTAGGTTTTAGTTTCAGACTGGTTATGAGTGTGTACATTTATCTAATCGGATTTTACAAGATGGCCATCATCCTAACAACAGTAAGTATACACATTGCTCTGTATATTGTTAGCGGTGATTTGGGTTACCTGCGCTTTCGGTTTAAATAGATCATATGAAGGGAAAGAAATATATAATAGAAATCATGTACACTCGTTATTCATGTGTCTTGTCTGATAGCTCTCTTAAAGAATCAATCCATCAATCGTAGCCATGCAAATCCTAAGATCCCATCAGCATTCATGGAGGTATCACATCAGTCAAAATCATAATTTTGGAGAAGGGCTTGTTTGTTTTAATATATTGTTTCAGGCGACTGACCCCTTTTCATTTGCATAAAGTGTATATGTACCATGAAACTGTTGTTTATTCTATTATTCAGAACACTATGGGCTTGTTGACGATGCTCTGCGTTGGCTGCTTGACCATTTATTCTGCTGGTAATGTTGTTAAAGGTATGTATTATGCTGTCAAATGGACTTTCAATTTCGAGTCATGTTACATTATTTGCTGCTTAGAATGTTAATTCCAGGTTACATAGGGATACGAGTGGGGTGGGCCTGTGCTGTCAGGTTTTCAAAGGTTTTAATTTCGTAGAATTGCATTCCTCCTTTGCGCCAGAACTGCGATTCCATGATTTAAATGATTGGTCCGCTCCGATAGTGATCCTTGGCTCATCAACATCAGACCATTGCTGGATGTAGCACTACAACAGGTGCTTGCTATGGAGGACATTGTAAATGTGACTTGTAGGTTTGGTTCACGTGTGAAATGCTTACTGCTTTTACTTTTGCATGTGACATGTGTCCAAAGTATTAGTACATAGTGTCTATATTTCAGCAGCCCAGTGCCAGGGCAACCAACACTGTTCAGAGTGTGACAACATAACAGAACACTGCATCACAGGCTGTGAAGTTGGATACTACGATATGAAATGCATGTCTGTGTGCAGCGATAACTGCAGAAATAACAAGTGTACAAGTTCCAAAACTGGCAATCATTATTGCACTGAGGGATGTGTCCCAGGGTATCAAGGTCCGGGGTGTGGCAAACCATGTTACAGTCCAGGAGGTAACTGTACTGCATGTCCAGGTGGGTGTGATGCAGGATATTGTCAGATGGCCTCAGCCTGCTATTCTGGATGTGTAGACTCCTTCTACGGGTCTGATTGTAAGAAGTGTTCAAGTGGATGTACGACTTGCAACAGGAAGACAGGAACATGTGATGACAAACCGGGTAGGTATGAACTTATGCCTGGTTGCAATAAGATAGCTTTATATGGTGGTGGGCCTTAAAAGATTATGTGAAACGATGCCTCACAAAGGAAGTATTGTCATAGTTCTTAACTTAGAAATACGAGTGACAGAAATTACGTCCATAATCTGCTAACCGTTCTTCAATATGTTCATCTAACACCACCACAACCCTACCCGACACCCTTCCACCTCTACCGCTATGTCATAGACATACAACTTCCCAATTACTTAGATCTGCAACTCATCTATTTCACAAACCTGGAATTATACTATATCTCAGATCTATTGCTCCCCCAATATCTAATCCCCCAGTTTTCTTAACCTACCTCTTGCCATATCTCTTAAACCTACACTCCTGCATATATCCTAAACCTACAGCTCTACATATCACTAAAAGCAACCATTCCCCTATTTCTTAGAACCACCCCCATGTTGCATAATGTGGGATGGACCCGTGCTGTCAAGTTTTTCAAAGGTGTTTACCTCCTAGAATTGCATTCCTCATTTCCGCTCGAACTGCTAATCGATGATTGAAATGATTGGTGATCCTTTGTTCCGATAGTGATCATTCGCTCATCAACATCATTGTAACTCTACAGCAGGTGCTTATTATGGAGAACATTCTAAACGTGACTTGTCCTTGGATTCAGTGTAATCTCAGGGTAACCTCTTTCAAATACATGTTCCCTTTACATGTGAAATACTTACTGCAATATAACTTTTGTAACTTGCATATGTTCCAAGTAATAATATTTTTTTCAATATTTCAGCAACCCAATGCCATGACAACCAACACTGTTCAGACTGTGACAGCACAACAGGACACTGCATCACTGATTGTGAGCCTGGATACTACGATAAGAAATGCATGTCTGTGTGCAGCGATAACTGCAGAAATAACAAGTGTATAAGTTCCAAGATTGGCAGTGGCAATTGCACTGAGGGATGTATCCCAGGATATCAAGGCATCAACTGCAACATACCATGTGACAGTCCAGGAGGTAACTGTACACCATGTCCAGGTGGGTGTGATGGAGGATATTGTCAGCTGGGCTCCTCCTGTGTGTCTGGATGTGTAGACTCCTACTACGGGACCGGCTGTGAATCTGGTAGGTGGCTGACATATAACAAGGTCAATACTAATACTATCCCCAAGTCTATATTGTATATTCTCCACAAGGGTTCTTTGAATTGCGTGAGACTGCATGTAAGAACTGTTCAAGTGGGTGTACGCCGTGCAACAGGACGACAGGAACATGTGATAAAAAACCGGGTAGGTACGATCTTATGCCTGGTTGTAATAAGGTGTGAACGTGTCAGTCAGATTATGCGCTCAACAATATAGCTTTATATGATGGTATGCTTTACACGTTATGTGAGAAGGTGTCTCACAAAGGAAGTATGTTCATAGGACTTTACTTTAGAAGTTAAAGTGACAGAAATTACGTCCATAATCATAAAGAAATTAATCTGCTAACCCCTCCTTAAATATGTTCATTTTTCACCAACTACGACCACCAGTAACACAACTCCTACCAATCCCTACTCCTTCAAAATGTTTCTGTATGTAACCACATCTATCTTATACTTTGACCACTCTGTATCTGTATAAGATCTCCCACGACCCAATGTGCTAGATTTCCACTGGATCAACCACTGGATTGTCTGGTCCAGACTCGATTTTTGGACATACAGCTCCCACTGTTTTCTAGTCCTTCCTTATATCCTAGTATTAGTCCTACAACTCCCTCTATCACTAAATCAAACCAGCCTATTTCTTAGAATCACTACTCCATATCATATATATTTTAACTAAATAAACTCAACACTATCCCATTTCTCAGACCAACCACTCCATCATCCCTTTTACCTACCGTTCCCCCTATATATTAGAGCTATCATTCCTTCCTTGTGTTAGACATACAACTCTTATCTCTTAAACCCACAATTCCAAATATATCTTTGATCTACCATGCTCCGTAGTTCTTAGACTACCACTACCCATATCAGTAAAACCAACTACTGCTCCTATCAAATAGACTCCCCCATATCTGCACCAGTATGTCGTAGACCACCATTACTCCACATGACTCTTTGAGCACTAACCCTCTCCCTTAAACCAACTATTCTCACTATCACTAAGACCAACAATGTCCCCTATTTTGCACCTACAGCTCCTCCATCTCTTTGACCTACAGCCCCCTTAGTAATACTGTAGGTGCAGGTACATACATTAGGGTACTTGAGATGCTTTTCAATGCATAATATGCTCGAATTATAAAACAATGTTATCAATCTGTATGCATTTCCAAACACGACAGATGTGACGCCATAATGTCTGAAGCGATATCATTTGATGATGGCCACGTATAACACATATGTGACTTTCACTCTATTGTTAAGACGAGAGATTATTTGTCAGGAACGAACAGCAGTGAGTGAGTGAGTTTGGTTTAACGCCGTGTTAAACAGTTTTCCAGTTGTATCATGGCGTGTCAGCTTAATGTAGGAGGAAAGTCCGAAGTCGAAACCCACCAGCACGAGTATGGTGCTTACAAACCTAGAAACATAATCGGAGCTAACCGCGATTCGAACCAAAAATCATAGGTTTCTGGCGTGCTCAAGAGACGCAACTATGCACAGCGAATCGCGGCGCCTCAGACGACTGGGCCACCCGTGCCCCCGGAACGAACAGTAAGCAAGAACAAGTATTCATGTCTACACAATAATGACTCCACATTTCAATTAGTGCATAAGTGGATTTAAGTGAATTATCTAAAATTCGGACAGACACTATGATTATGTGTCGTCAGCGGGGAATGATGTGACCGAGGACGTATAATAGCCGACCTCGCCATGGAAAATACAGTATGGAACGGTGTGAAATGGCCCATCAGTAGATTTATGTTTTTAAGATTATTTCAGATGCTCATCCTTCTCAAATGTTCTTAAGAACAACTTCGTGGGTCCTTGATTTTTCCCTTAAAAATGTTCAACAGTTGCAAGTAATATCATGACACATGCATGGAGAAAAAAAACATTCTTGTTGTTTACAGATGAGTATGTCCACATTGGAGTACTGGCACCATCGCTGTTCTTAGTATTTTGCGTCCTTGTGGCAATTGTTGCATTTTTTACCAAGTATTTGAATAGAAATCGGTGAGTATGTAATATGTGATGTTGCTTGTAAACGTTGGCACTCACATAGTCCTGTTTTTTGTAAACACCATTTAAAACGATTGCAGCGTGTTTACGTAGTCCTGGTTTTTAAAACAATAATTGACCAGGAAAACATTATACTTTCTCCGTCATGTCATGAATGTGGTTTGGGTAAGCACGAATTGGACCTACTTTTTTCCGAAAAACAGATTATGTATTCTAGTCTATATGTTAATTGATACAATACTATCACAGCTTTTTCTGCGACATAATGTGTTGACAGAGGATATTTGAGTGAGTGAGTGAGTTTGGTTTAACGCCGCTTTTAACATTATTGCAGTTATATCACGGCGTGTCAGTTCAATTTGGGAGGAAAGCCCGAGTTGATGCAGGCCTCAGACGTTTACCACTTCGGTGAAACCCACGAGCACGGGCATGGTGCTGACAATCCTAGAAACATAATCAGGGTGAACCGGGACTCGAACCCAAACTCATATGTTTCTGGCGTGCCAAAGGGAGGCAACTCTGCACAGCGAATCGCAGCGCCTTAGACGACTGGGCCACCCGTGCCCCAACAGGATGTTTGAATCCCATTGTCAAATGGTATGTTCACTTCTCATCAACTAACCAGATAAAGGTGATATGTTTAGGAGTTGTCATGAGATGAAATAATAATGTTATTTAAAAGACACATTATATATATTCTTAACGTTATATGCATTAATTATCATTGAAATGGGCTGAAAGTGTTCATTCACTGGAGTGAGATATCGATTTAAGTTTTTCAGAATACATGTAGTGTTTCATGAAAGCATACATGCACATACTAAGGGAAAGCATCCTAAAAAATGTGACAGATACATTGGTATTGGCCACAAGTGTCAACATGTTTTAAATGTTTCTGTTGCAGAGAGGAAACACATCAGGAAGATGAAGATATCTATCTGCCAAATGCACCGGCGGAGGAGAGAGGTGCACCTGATGCATTTCGACACTCGAATGCAATGTACAGTGAAGTCAATGAAAGGGAAACGGGGACAGTTGTGGTGTTCCTGGAGGAGCGGTACAGTAACTGAAATTGACGGTGTCATTTCGTCTTCGCCAGGCCTTATACGCCTCTCAGCTCGGACTGTGTTAGTTTTCTTTGTAATATGAGTCATTATTGTATGTGTTTGCCTCACACGTATTAAAGTACCTGAACCTTGAGAAATGAAAATAAATTCGACTTGTTCAGTTTCGATAAAACTAATTTTTTAGATCGTTATTAGCATATAAGCATATGATAAGTCGTTTATAGATAATGTTTCCGTCAAATGTATCTGTCAGATCAAAAGTATTACTCATTGAGTTTCATCTGATATGGATTAAATGCATACTATCATCAGAAATAATTATGAGCTATGAGTTTGAGTCAGTGTGAAACCAGTTTCATACCTTCCCTTTTTTCTATATCATATGTTTCCTATTTTCTTTCTTCCTCTATACTACATGACGTGTGTTTCTTGTAAAAAGTTCATATCAGTTTATGAACATCTGAAAAAATTGTTGGGGGGGGGGGGGGGGGGGGTATGAATATAAGCAAAACACGTTTTACAGAAGCATTGGGCATTTAGTGAAGACTGACCTGCTCAAGGGGTGGATACCTTTAGGGAAGACTGACCTGCTCAAGGGGTGGATACCTTTAGGGAAGACTGACTACTCACATGATGGATACCTTTAGGGAAGACTGACCTGCTCAAAGGGTGGATACATTTATGGAAGACTGACCTGCTCAAGGTGTTGATACCTTTAGGGAAGACTGACCTGCTCAAAGGGTGGATACATTTAGGGAAGTCTGACCTCCTCAAGGGGTGGATACCTTTAGGGAAGACTGACTAGTCAAATGGTGGATACATTTAAGGAAGACTGACCTACTCAAGGGGTGGATACCTTTAGGGAAGACTGACCTGCTCAAGGGGTGGATACCTTTAGGGAAGACTGACCTGCTCATGGGGTGGATACCTGTAGGGTAGACTGACTACTCAAATGGTGGATACATTTAGGGAAGACTGACCTGCTCAAAGGGTGGATACATTTAGGGAAGACTGACCTGCTCAAGGGGTGGATACCTGTTGGGAAGACTGACCTGCTCAAAGGGTGGATACATTTAGGGAAGACTGACCTGCTCAAGGGGTGGATACCTGTAGGGAAGACTGACCTGCTCAAATGGTGGATACATTTAGGGAAGACTGACCTGCTCAAAGGGTGGATACATTTAGGGAAGACTGACCTGCTCAAGGTGTTGATACCTTTAGGGAAGACTGACCTGCTCATGGGGTGGATACCTTTAGGGAAGACTGACTACTCACATGGTGGATACCTTTAGGGAAGACTGACCTACTCAAGGGGTGGATACATTTAGAGAAGACTGACCTGCTCAAGGGGTGGATACATTTAGGAAAGACTGACCTGCTCAAAGGGTGGATACCTGTAGGGTAGACTGACTACTCAAATGGTGGATACATTTAGGGAAGACTGACCTGCTCAAAGGGTGGATACATTTAGGGAAGACTGACCTGCTCAAGGGGTGGATACCTGTAGGGAAGACTGACCTGCTCAAGGGGTGGATACCTTTAGGGAAGACTGACTACTCACATGATGGATACCTTTAGGGAAGATTGACCTGCTTAAGGGTTGGATACATTTATGGAAGACTGACCTGCTCAAGGTGTTGATACCTTTAGGGAAGACTGACCTGCTCAAAGGGTGGATACATTTAGGGAAGTCTGACCTCCTCAAGGGGTGGATACCTTTAGGGAAGACTGACTAGTCAAATGGTGGATACATTTAAGAAAGACTGACCTACTCAAGGGGTGGATACCTTTAGGGAAGACTGACCTGCTCAAGGGGTGGATACCTTTAGGGAAGACTGACCTGCTCATAGGGTGGATACCTGTAGGGTAGACTGACTACTCAAATGGTGGATACATTTAGGGAAGACTGACCTGCTCAAAGGGTGGATACATTTAGGGAAGACTGACCTGCTCAAGGGGTGGATACCTGTTGGGAAGACTGACCTGCTCAAAGGGTGGATACATTTAGGGAAGACTGACCTGCTCAAGGGGTGGATACCTGTAGGGAAGACTGACCTGCTCAAATGGTGGATACATTTAGGGAAGACTGACCTGCTCAAAGGGTGGATACATTTAGGGAAGACTGACCTGCTCAAGGTGTTGATACCTTTAGGGAAGACTGACCTGCTCATGGGGTGGATACCTTTAGGGAAGACTGACTACTCACATGGTGGATACCTTTAGGGAAGACTGACCTACTCAAGGGGTGGATACCATTTAGAGAAGACTGACCTGCTCAAGGGGTGGATACATTTAGGAAAGACTGACCTGCTCAAGGGGTGGATACCTGTATGGTAGACTGACTACTCAAATGGTGGATACATTTAGGGAAGACTGACCTGCTCAAAGGGTGGATACATTTAGGGAAGACTGACCTGCTCAAGGGGTGGATACCTGTAGGGAAGACTGACCTGCTCAAAGGGTGGATACATTTAGGGAAGACTGACCTGCTGAAGGGGTGGAAACCTGTAGGGAAGACTGACCTGCTCAAATGGTGGATACATTTTGGGAAGACTGACCTGCTCAAAGGGTGGATACATTTAGGGAAGACTGACCTGCTCAAGGTGTTGATACCTTTAGGGAAGACTGAACTGCTCAAATGGTGGATACCTTTAGGGAAGACTGACCTGCTCAAATGGTGGATACCTTTAGGGAAGACTGACTTGCTCAAAGGGTGGATACATTTAGGGAAGACTGACTTGCTCAAGGTGTTGATGCCTTTAGGGAAGACTGAACTGCTCAAATGGTGGATACCTTTAGGGAAGACTGACCTACTCAAGGGGTGGATACCTTTAGGGAAGACTGACCTGCTCAAGGTTGGATACCTGTAGGGAAGACTGACCTGCTCAAAGTGTGGATACTGGGCACGGGTGGCCAAGTCGTCTATGGCGCACCGTTTCGCTGTGCAGAGTTGCGTCCCTTGGGTACGCCAGAAACCAATGATTGTGGGTTTGAATCCCGGTTCGCCCCGATTATGTTTCTAGGTTTGTCAGCACCATACCCGTGCTCGTGGGTTTCACCGAAGTGGTAAACGTCTTTTGATCTGCATAACTTCGGGCTTTCCTTCCACATTAAGCTGACTGACCTACTCAAGGGGTGGATACCTTTAGGGAAGATTGACCTGCTTAAGGGTTGGATACATTTAGGGAAGACTGACCTGCTGAAGGGGTGGATACATTTAAGAAAGACTGACCTCCTCAAGGGTGGATACCTTTAGGTAAGACTGACCAGCTCAAATGGTGGATACATTTAGGGAAGACTGACCTACTCAAGGTGTTGATACCTTTAGGGAAGACTGACCTTCTCAAAGGGTGGATAGATTTAGGGAAGACTGAACTGCTAAAACGGTGGATACATTTGGGGAAGACTGACCTGCTCAAGGTGTTGATACCTTTAGGGAAGACTGACCTGCTCAAAGGGTGGATACATTTAGGGAAGACTGACCTCCTCAAGGGGTGGATACCCTTAGGGAAGACTGACCTGCTCAAGGTGTGGATACCTGTAGGGAAGACTGACTAGTCAAATGGTGGATACCTTTAAAGAAGACTGACCTGCTCAAGGGGTGGATACCTTTGGGGTAGACTGACCTGCTCAAGGGGTGGATACATTTAGGGAAGACTGACCTGCTCAAGGGGTGGATACCTGTAGGGAAGACTGACTACTCAAATGGTGGATACATTTAGAGAAGACTGACCTGCTCAAAGGGTGGATACATTTAGGGAAGACTGACCTCCTCAAGGTGTTGATACCTTTAGGGAAGTTTGACCTGCTCAAAGGGTGGATACATTTAGGGAAGACTGACCTATTCAAGGTGTTGATACATTTAGGGAAGACTGACCTGCTCAAAGGGTGGATACATTTAGGGAAGACTGACTTGCTCAAAGGGTGGATACATTTAGGGAAGACTGACCTGCTCAAGGGGTGGATACATTTAGGGAAGACTGACCTACTCAAGGGGTGGATACCTTTAGGGAAGACTGACCTGCTCAAGGGGTGCATACATTTAGGGAAGACTGGCCTACTCAAGGTGTTGATACCTTTAGGGAAGACTGACCTGTTGAAAGGGTGGATACATTTGGGGAAGTCTGACCTACTCAAAGGGTGGATACGGGGGCACGGGTGGCCAAGTCGTCTAAGGCGCCGCGATTCGCTGTGCAAAGTTGCGTCCCTTGGGCACGCCAGAAACCAATGATTATGGGTTCGAATCCCGGTTCGCCCCGATTATGTTTCTAGGTTTGTCAGCACCATACCCGTGCTCGTGGGTTTCACCGAAGTGGTAAACGTCTTTTGACCTGCATAACTTCGGGCTTTCCTCCTAGGCTGACTGACCTACCCAAGGGGTGGATACCTTTAGAGAAGATTGACCTGCTTAAGGGGTGGATACATTTAGGAAAGACTGACCTGCTCAACGGGTGGATACCTGTAGGGAAGACTGACCTCCTCAAAGGGTGGATACCTTTAGGTAAGACTGATCTCCTCAAGGGGTGCATACCTTAAGGGAAAACTGACCTACTCGAATGGTTTATACCTTGAGGGAAGACTTACCTGCTCAAAGGGTGGATGCCTTAAGGGAAGACTGACCTGCTCCAAGGGTGGATACCTTGAGGGAAGACTGACCTGTTCAAAGGGTGGATGCCTTAAGGGAAGACTGACCTACACAAAGGGTGGATACCTTTAGGGAAGACTGGCCTACTCAAGGATGGATATATTTAGGAAAGACTAACGTACTCAAGGGGTGGATACCTTTAAGGAAGACTAACCTACTCAAACATTTAGGGAAGACTGATCTATTCAAGGTGTTGATACATTTAGGGAAGACTGACCTGCTCAAAGTGTGGATACATTTAGGGAAGACTGACCTGCTCAAAGGGTGGATACATTTAGGGAAGACTGACCTGCTCAAGGGGTGGATACATTTAGGGAAGACTGACCTGCTCAAGGGGTGGATACCTGTAGGGAAGACTGACCTACTCAAGGTGTTGATACCTTTAGGGAAGACTGACCTGCTCAAGGGGTGCATACATTTAGGGAAGACTGGCCTACTCAAGGTGTTGATACCTTTAGGGAAGACTGACCTGTTGAAAGGGTGGATACATTTGGGGAAGTCTGACCTACTCAAAGGGTGGATACGGGGGCACGGGTGGCCAAGTCGTCTAAGGCGCCGCGATTCTCTGTGCAGAGTTGCGTCCCTTGGGCACGCCAGAAACCAATGATTATGGGTTCGAATCCCGGTTCGCCCCGATTATGTTTCTAGGTTTGTCAGCACCATACCCGTGCTCGTGGGTTTCACCGAAGTGGTAAACGTCTTTTGACCTGCATAACTTCGGGCTTTCCTCCTAGGCTGACTGACCTACCCAAGGGGTGGATACCTTTAGAGAAGATTGACCTGCTTAAGGGGTGGATACATTTAGGAAAGACTGACCTGCTCAACGGGTGGATACCTGTAGGGAAGACTGACCTCCTCAAAGGGTGGATACCTTTAGGTAAGACTGATCTCCTCAAGGGGTGCATACCTTAAGGGAAAACTGACCTACTCGAATGGTTTATACCTTGAGGGAAGACTTACCTGCTCAAAGGGTGGATGCCTTAAGGGAAGACTAACGTACTCAAGGGGTGGATACCTTTAAGGAAGACTTACCTACTCAAATGGTGGATACCTTTAGGGAAGACTAACCTACTCTAATGGTGGATACCTTTAGGGAAGACTGACCTGTTCAAAGGGTGGATGCCTTAAGGGAAGACTGACCTACACAAAGGGTGGATACC